TGGACACATAACTTGCTCTTTAATTCAATCAACTTTAAGACACTTTACATCAGGGTTGGGCAACTGGCGGCCCGGGGGCCACATGCGGCCCCCATCAACCCTCAACGTGGCCCTCAGGTCAATTTTTACATATCAATTAATTGGAAACATGAAGAAAATGTGACAAAATTTGCCATGAAATCATGAAAACCAGAAATATGTCCATGATAATATTTGATCACAGGTATATGTTGAGTTAAATTTGAGACATAATCGACTGTAATCGTTTTTGTATTCTACAATTTGGCCCTCTGGCAGTGAGAATTAAATGACTGTGGCCCTTGCTGTGACCAAAGTTGCCCATCCTTGCTTTACATGGTCTTGGGTGTCCAGGTTATAAGCCCTATCCCGGTTTTGATCATATTCGGGACATGGCATCAACATGCACTCAGAGAAACCTGGTTGTCCTATTTGTGCAAGTCCATGACTTGTTCGGCTGTACATGCTGGGAAACAGACATCCAGTAAGCTGTTCACCACAGACTTGAATAGGTCCGCATTTCAATAATTTCTCCCATCAAAACTTCCAATTATATAAAATTATTTCATTACCGTAAGACAAAACTCAGTTTCTTCATCACTCCAGTAGTAAGACGCTTTCGTTGCCTCGGCCATGATTGTTTTGCTTGGCCACGCCTGCGCAGGTCGTCTGCAGCTGTCAGAAACCTGTTAAAATGCACAAACACAAAAACAGGATACTTAAATAACTGATAGAACCGAGGTAATCATTTTATGTAACTCAATAGCCCTCTGCACTTACATTTTCAACAGCACTTAGCTTTTTCACAGAAGTATCTAAGATCAAGAACTCCAGGGACCTGGAAATGCACATTAGCAACTTTTCCACACTCCTCTCTAAAGCTAAATTGATGCTGTCCATCATACTTCCACCTTCTGTCAGTGCTGAACTTTTGCCACAAAACCTGATGGAAAAACAGGACATAATGCACTGCTAAGCATCTGACAGCTGCCCAAGAGAGAGCGGCTGCCCTCTATAAGAAATATAATTCCTTGCTCTCCAAAATGTTGTACCTGCACATATCAGTTAACAGCGGTAACCTGTCAATAAATGCAGCAAATGGTGCAGAGGAAGGAGACAGTTTTCTAGATTTTAAGGGGCCGATTTTAGGATCAGACCTTTCGGGATGCTCAGCTCCCAAATAAATTGTGTCATGTAGAGTTCCTTTTCAATCCTCTTGCTAAACCATTCACTTCATCAACAAGCGATTTTGCATCGTTATTGCAGATGTTGTGTAAAACAACAAAAAAAAGAATGGAAACTGTGGGTAATAGCTAATATGCACTCTTATTATTTATTCATCAATTCATGTTTTTCTTGAATTATTGACCATGTTATCCCATGTTATAACCCTTTAAACCTGTTTTGTACTAGGCTTGGTTCCTTAATTGCTAACAATAAGATTAGAAGATTTATGTCAATCATAAATATGGACCTGGTGTCAGGAGGTGATTAGCCTAATGCAATTTAAAGGCTGGAGATTTTTCTTGTATGTCTCAAACTAACTTTCAGTCAATAGAAAAGTAGGGCTGAGGCAGGCCTAAAGCCTCCTGACAAATAACCTGTGAGTGCACTCAGACGGTTCATTTTTTTCCACACTTGAGGCTGCAGCTTGGTGGAGAAGTAGATGCAAGTTGTAAAGAGATAAGTCATTCTAATAATGTCCAAAGTTTTAATCTGTGACACCAGTTCTGTAATAGAAACTTCAAATGTGGAGCTGTGGGTGTAGCCCCTCCGAGGAAATATTTTGCAGCACATCCGCCCTGCTAGGTGATGGCTATCCATAAATTGCTTAAGTTATAACAAAAAGACACATTAAGGCACCTTTGGCTTGATGCTTACTTTGCGTTGATGGCTGAGTGAACAAACAGGTAAAAGCAGATATTGCTAATAGCCTCTGACAGCCAGACAAAAATACAAACTAGGCATTAAGGTTTGGCTCAGCTACAAGAACATAATATGAGGAGAATACAAAAATATACTGTCAGAACATGTTCCCCTAGTTTTCTTTCCCTGGGAAATATTTGCTGCCAAGCTTATTTACATTCATGCAGTAGGTGAACTGTACACTGAACTCTCCTGAAACAGAAACAAAGCTTAACACAGCACAGCATACAAATAGGTTTTATTTTCTGTGGGTGTGTGTATACATATACTGAGTCACTGCAGTTTTTTGTTTGCATTAATTTTGCACATTGCCTCACTGAAAGTGTATGAAGATTAAAGAGGTACCTGTGAGCAGTTCAAACACACACCTGCTGCTCTGGGGAACACAAAATGGCTAAAGAGAAAATGTGATTTTACACTTGTTTTGTTATACACTGTGGTGAAAATAAGAGAGGAGGAAGAATGGTGGAGGATGTTACAACGTCAACAAACAAGAAGAGAGGAGAGACAACATTCAGAAGATGATGTAGTGCCAGCTGCTGTGTAAAGATTCTGACCAGTTTGGGCATCGGGCCTGTTCACACTGCAAGGTTTGCAAACCTACAAGGAGCTTAGTTTACTCTGCAAACATGTTCAGTCATTGAGAATCTGCCAAAACTAGTTTGTACAAAGTATACTGCTCAGCTGACTCTCAGTCTGTGTAGTTTGTGGCCTTTCTAAAAAGCCCCACAGGGTTGGCTGTTGAGAAAGCTCTAGTCACCATCTTCATGGTCCAAATCTGTCCTGCTGGTCTTAAATTTAGAGAGTATGTAGACTGAAATATGAAGTGAAGGCATTTTGGTCTCATATATCACAATTATTTAACATCACTTAATTTGTTCTTTGTAGTAAAGATTCAGGTTTACTTTACCCTTAATGGAGATTTTATCGTTCAGCGATATGAGCATTCACAATAAACACATTGCTTAAGTCTAGATATTGATTGCAAAATATAAAGTACAGTAAAAGTAAAGTAAAAAATACAACAGTTCAAATGTAGTGTCACTCAGCATGTGTGTATTTTCCACTTTACTTTTTTGATGTACACCGCCAGCAAATTATATGATTTTTTACTACATTATGTTTGAACAAATAATATGCTTTAATACGAGCAAAATAACCTCAAAAATTTGAAATGCCACCAATAAAAACATCTATTAATTTAGGGAATACATCTGTAACCATCTTTAAAGCAGATTCCCCTCGGGGTTACTATGGAAACACTATCGGCAACATCAGCTAGCTAGCAGGTGCCTTCTAAGCTAGACACACAACACACATAACAGAAGCAGGGTAATTTTAGCTTAATTTAACTAAACATCGTCTTTGCAACTTTTTCAGAGTCCTTCCTCTTCTTCATCGCATCTTCATATCACAAAACTTCACCATGCTATTGATGCTTGCGGTGAGCGCTAGAAAAGAACTTCTTGAGGTAACTTGTGTTTATATTTTCCAAATAAAAATATAATGTTCAAAGATAAGAACCTGTCAAGGCAAGTTGTTCAACAAATGGCAAACATGACGTCATCATCGCGCCTGTCATTTAATGTGTTTACAAATATCATTCTGTATTTCTATTTCTATTTTACATTTGTATTCATTTGCATTTCACTCTAAATCCATAAATATTTTTGTTACAAAATAATTGATTATAGATCTACCTGTTTTCTTGAGCTGAAATGTCATTTGCTTTCAGTATGTATGAGATGTGCATAAGAGTCAAAGACAAATTTTTGAAAAAATAAAGTAAAGGCTATTCTACCGAATGGTATTGTAAACCAATCACCAATGTCCATATTAAGATAAAAGTTTTAACCATTACAAAAAATGTAGGGAGGAAAAGTTTTTTTAATTATTATTTAACCATTACCAACTAATCAAAGCAAATAAAAACAAAATAATTTAACTTAGAAGAGAACCATTACCTGTAGTTCATACATACATGGAAACAAAATGCTAAGAGATATTTTGCAAAAATGTGTCATTAAATTGCCAATACATTTCAAACTAATGCAAAAATTAAGATGCAATTCCAATCATTTTTTCATCCATGCTATTATGATGTGTTGTCATATATTTACCAATTAAGTACGAGTGCCTTTTGCAAGAAAAAGTATTAGACAGCAATATTACATCTTTACAAAAGCATATTTGTCTGTACCATGGTGTGTAAATGGATGTTTTCTTTTATGTGCATATGAGGCAGCATGTAAGCCGATAGAGAACTGAGATAATATCAGCCAACAATAAATCATCCCTTCCCCAGAATGGATAACTCCCAAATATGTAATTCCCACCCAACAATTAAAAATATCAGCATATTCAATTGAAAAAGCACAAAAAATAAAAAGTACACACTTTAAAAACCTGCACAGATTGGAAGTGATGTGAGCTACAATTTGAACGCTGATGTTCCTTTTATGCTGGTTGTCATTGGTGCAGCTTGTCATTAAGACCAAATGTTTCACATTTTGTGAAGGTGTGAAATAACACAAGGACACAGAGCAGTTTTCTGTTTAGTTTTATTGAAGCCACACACAGTCAGCTCACAGCTGCCCCAACAGATACTACTGGATACTACTGCTGCAGTGCACACACTCCCATCTGTTGTGTGAAAAGATCTGTATGTGTGTGTGCGCGTGTGAATTTAACATCATAACTTTGGCAACACTTCAAAGACTTCATGATTCATCTCAGGTCACTAAAGCCCTGCGGCATCAAATAAGTTAGAAAAGCACAGTTACAAAACAATAATTTATAAACATAACTGCTGTACAGACTTTAAAACTGGAATATCAACAGGTTTAATATGTTACACTTCATGTGGTTAATAAAAAAAATCCCAACTGAACAATATGAACAGAATGTACAGGATTATGTTCTGCTCCCGAGAAAGCACCAATACTGACAAAGGTAAAGAGGACACACACACACACACACACACACACACACACACACACACACACACACACACACACACACACACACACACACACACACACACACACACACACACACACACACACACACACACACACACACACACACACACACACACACACACACACACACACACACACACACACACACGACGTTTCCAGTTACATTCACTTCAATAGGCTCTCCTATTTAACACAACCAGGCGAGGTCTCCTGCGCCCTCTAGTGGAGAGTTGAGAAACAAAAACTGCTCCAGTCACACACACATCTTTGTAAGGACAAAGTTTATACCCAAACCACTGATCATAACTTTATATTTTTAGGTTTCTGATCAAAATGAAAGATTTTAATGGGACCCTGAACTTAGCAAAAAGAGGAAGACACTGGCTTTGTATGACTTTAGTTCAGTTCATACATTATCTATATTTTGTAAGATATTCTGGGAATGAGAAAACTCTTGAAGGTATATCACAAACAGCTCAAATTTGAAGGTATATCACAAACAGCAGCTTCACACTGTATTTAACATTCATGGGAATTTATAGCACTTTTGCAAACAGGTGAAATACATCACCGAGCTCCAAGGTTTCACCCTTTAAAATGGCCTTTGAGGAGGTGAAAGCAGGTAAGATGTAGTCTGTATATTTTCTTCCTCTACTAACCTCGAGGACATTTGGTATTTTGTTTTGATGGTAACATATCGTACACAAACAGCTCCCCATCCCTCCTGCTGCTCTGCTCCGTCCTGACATTCAAACGTTTGGGGACAGCTAAGCTCCAGCTGAGCCGCTCTGAGTCCAAGCCTCCCCCGTTCTCCCTCCCTCTGCAACGCACCCAAAGCAGCTGATACAGCACAATACTGAGGGAGGAGGCTTGCTTTTATGAAGAACATACTCATGTTACAAGATGTCTGCTTCAAGGAATGTCTCAATGACACAATTTAGCATTGGCATTTGGTTTAACAAGGGACACTTCTTTGTGGGACTCCTGTGTTTGATGTTTGGACATCCCTAGCCAATCACAGCAAAGTAGGCTAAGTACAGGTGAATCAACATAGTCCAACTTAGCTATGTTTCTACTGTAGCCTGTAAAAGACAAACTGAACACTGGCTGCTCACAGCTACATGCCACTGAATTCTATTCAAACCGGTCCATCACATGCATGTCTAGAAAAGACACTCACTCTGCCTGCATGTCAAGTACAGACACAGAAGTATTGAGGCTGGGGTATTTTGCTTTCCGTGCAGAATGGTTCCTCTTGTCTTACAGGTTTGTGTACTTAGTGACATGAAAAAATACTGGAGCAGCAAAAATGTGCTACAATTATGACTCTGTTGGAACTAAATGTTCTTGCTGTCCAGCCAAATTGAAAAAAATGGCACAGTCAGACGGGACCTGCATTGAATTAACAGTATCCATGGCAACAAGCATCATCAGGTGCCTATGAATACAGAATTAGGTTGTTTCAGTCCTGTATATATCATTATTAAGTCAAAAACTCAGGAAAAAAACAATTTAGCCTCTTATTGCAACAGGAAGTGAGATAATAAAAGCAAAACAGAAAGTAATCATTCACAGATAAATGAGAGCATGGAGGAAGAGACAAGTGTATTTAAATCAGCTAAGGAAGGAAAAAACACATTTTCTTCCTCCAACTCCTTCAGTTCCTCTTCCCTTAAAAAAAAGAAATCTCCCACTGTCTTTAAAATCCCTCCTCCTCTCTCCTCTCTCCATGTCTCTGGGCCCTGGAGACATTTTATATTTACATCACATTACACAGTCAGAGATGATGAGAGCGCGTTGTACCTGTCAGTCTGGATACAGTACTTCTCCTGCCTCCAGGTGAGGATGTGGAGAAGACCCAACACACACACACCCCCACACATATCACACGCATCCTTCAGCTCAATTTCACATCAAACAGATGCATCCACACACACACACGCACGCACACGCGCACGCACGCACACACACACTTTTTTGCTCATTGTGGGTCTAAGTGCTGCAGTTAGCTCACAAACATGCAGACAGTAGCAAGAACATGCCGTTCAATTCAAGTGTCCTTATTTCCTGCTGAGGATCATGGGAAATGAGTCCCCCTTTGCATACAGCTCAGGAGTCCTTCAAGCCTCATTAAAACTTTCTGTCATTGTCACTTAAAGATGGCCTTGACAAAAGTGGGGCTTGAAGCTTCCTTTGTCTTTCATATATATATATGTACACATGAATAATCCACTTCAGCAAGGTGGTGCTGAAGAGCTCATGAGCCAGACAACATGGAACTACAAGCACCAAGGCTGTATCCTCCTTCATTTTCCCCAGTGGGTCACGTAGTATATTGACATGAGTAAGGCAGTGTCCGCATTAGAGCAGACATATAAAATACTGCTGATATGTCATCGCCTGTTTCAGTTTTAAGGTCTACAATGAAACGTCACAACATCAGGGCAAATCCACTGATGCACTTCAAGTCATTTTTGATGTAAAGCTGAAGTTTCAAAAACATTACAGGTTGTTTTTTTTTTAAAGTCAAAATTTGTTTGTGACTTCAGCTGTCTCCACTTTGGAGGACAATTTTTAATGTGAAACTTCAAAATAATCAGAGGAGGAAGACTCTTGTCTTTGTTTTCCCTTTAAACCAGGGTCTAAAAGAAAGAGGCCTTGTATGCTCTAATGACTTTTTTGAAGCAAATTAGTGATTTGGGGAACAACAATGATGTAAACTAAAATGACTTTTACATACATTTTTTCCAATTTTAAAAATCTCATCGCATTAGTTTTAACATAAAAGGTCTTGAAGATGAAATTGAAAAATTGAAGCCCCAAAATAATAATTTAAAGAAGTCAACAGAATTTGGCTTTTTTTTTTTTTGCTTTCCTGCAATTGAGAACACTGATTTTGTCACTGAAAATCACAATGACTTGTGAAAAGCAAGTTCAGCTTCATTGAAGAAATACTGCTGTTAGCGTTCTTTAATACTGCACATGGCTGCTCTCCATCCTTCCTCCCCTCTCAGCAAGAAGCAGTCGGCACAGCCATGATTGTGAGGTAGTTGGAGGGCACGTAGCCTCTCTGCCCTCCTTTCGCCTCCACCAGACTCCACTCAGGATTCCCTCGTTTGTCATGTGGCTCCAGGACACGGACCAGCTCACCAGACCGGACAGAAACTTCATGGTTACCTCTCGCGTTGAAGTCGTAGGCTGCAAACACCTGGAAGAAGGAGTCAAATACAGGACTGAAATCACCAATACCAGCTAGCCTGAGATGCTTTTACGCTCTTCATTATAGAGTAGTGAATACAATCATGAGATAAGAGGGAAATGTAGTAAATACTTTGTTTATAGAGAATAAAAGACATCCCCAAGGAGGATAAATGTGGTCGTCTGTGGTTGTAAGCTTATGAGAAAATCAGCCTACCTCTTAAGCTAAACAAAAACCATTTCATAGAGTTTCAGTTCACAATTGATTATTTTTCAAGTCTTCTGGGATGATGTTATTTTTAGTCATTTTATAGTACAAAAAAACGACAAAGCAGTGTTTGCTTTAGGGCGTGGCTTCCTTTTGCTCCACAAAGAGCTATCAGAAGAAAAAAAAAAGCAACAAATCAAAAGAGAGGTGTAGCAACTCATATTCACCAAGCAGCAACCTCTGATGTTGCAAAATAATGCCGATGTGGTAGTGTAAAGACCTGCAGTTCATTGAGTGTCCACTTGAGGCTGGCTGCAGAAGACCCATAACTCACAAACACACCCATTCAAAAAGGCTCGTTTTATTTATGTTGATCTTTTAGGCACATTTTTGGCGATCGCTACTGTACCAAACTTGAGGATCCACAACAGTATTCTGCAAATCAATAGTGTGGAGTACAAAGGGGGGACTTCAGGAGAGTGGACGAACTGAGGGGAGGAGGCAGGGCCGGACAGCATATCTGAAAGAGAGAGCTGACCTGCTATAGCATCAGTGTTCAAGGAGATCTTCAACTTCTCTCTGGCCAAGTCCATTATTCCCTCCTTCCTCTATCGGTCTACAATGATCCCTGTCCCAAAGAAACCTCATCCTGACTGCCTGAGTGTCTGCAAGCCAGTTAGTCCAACCTCCTCTGTGATGAAGTGCTTTAACAGTCTCATCAAGGACTTCATAACCATCTCACTAGCTGTGATGCTGGACCCGCTGTGTGCAAGTCACACACTGATGCTGCATCGAGAGTCACAACACACAACTTTGAGAACGATAATGCGTGCGCGCAGGTACAAATGTGACGCACACACTCATAAACACAACCACAAATCATTGTAATATTCTCTGAAAAGGTTAAGGCCATAGTTATGTTTTGACAAATCCCGTCTCTCTGCCACACACGTATGCACACACACTCCCTGAGCATGAAGGCCTCCTAATGAGCTCCGTGTTGTTATGACAGAGAGCCACAGCACAGCTAATAGCCGAGTTTAGCCGGCTGTTCTGTGTCATTAACAAACCCTTCACCTGGGCTCACCTCTCAGCTACGACATCAGCTCTGCCCTGACGGTCTACACCAATTAGCATAAAATTTGCATTTAGCCAGGGAGAGACATGGAGGGTAAGAATTAAGAAAAAGAGAAAAATTAACTAAAGTGACCATTCATGGCTAACGGCCGCATAGTGATCCACGCTGAAGGAGCTGAGTGAATATCCTCCGGAGCAATATTTCTGATGGAAATGAAAGGAGAAGCTGGAGGAGGGACAGAGCTGACTGAGAACTCCTGCAGAAGACACACTGGAATGTATCGATCATTTCACCCTTTCCCTGCATGTCTACACACCTCATGAACCGGTGAGAAAATGAGATGGTAAATAGATCATTTCCAACAAAGGTGAAAGTCTGCTGAAGGGCAAGGAAGCTTCATGACTGAATGTAAACTGGGGGTAAATAGAGTAATAGGTGAGAAAAAGTCTGAGACGATGATATTCAAAGCACTGTGCACTATGAATGAAAAGGACAAATCATTTTAACAGATATGGTAGAACATAGGCTGGCTCAGGGCAAATTAGGGCATTTCTTTGCCTGGGACACTAATATATGTATACATCTCTGATTGGCTGCCACAAGGACAAAATGGCTATGTCTAGTATTTGTTTAATAACAGGTTTCAGAGAATAAGAAAAACTCCAAGGCCTCTCTTTTTAAATAATTAAAATGCCTTTATTTTCATGACATGCTCTTTTAGACCGTAAAACACACTTAAGCCTAGCAGCATCAAGTCTTCATCAAGACTTTTCTTTAAGGTCTGCATGACCATGCCATGAAAATACAAGATTTTCAGTTGTTTAAAAAGAGAGTTCATTTGAGTTATTTTTGTCTTTTTTTTTTTTTAAAGGTGTATTTTTGGGCTTTTATGCGAGAGATGTGAAAGACAAGCAGGAAAGGAGCCAGAGGTTGGATTAGAAGCCGGACCACCCGCTTGGAGGACTAAGGCCTCTGTATATAGGGTGCGCACACAAACCACTAGGCTACCAAGGCGTTTTTTTTTTTTTTGGGAGTTTTTCTTGTTCTCAATGTATCCCATGTATCTCAATCCAAAGAGCAACTCAAAATGACACATTGTTGAGCTCCTCCATTTATCTGTTCTGACTTTTAAATATCATGAGAAACAGAACAAGATATTTTTTAGGTTAATGATCACTACATTCGGGCGCCAGTTTAGCTCAGTCAGTAGAGTAAGCACCTCATTTACAGAGGCTGCAGTCCTCCTAAGTATTGGTCACAGGTTTGACTTCTTCAGATGCGAGTCTACCACGCTCTCTCCTCCCCACATTCCCTGCTTCTCTTCAGCTGTCTTATCAATATAGGCAAAAAAAGGCCAAATAATAAGAATCAGAAACCTTCACTAGGTCTGTACAAAGAGAGGTCTTAAAACATATTAGACTACAGACCATTAGAAGTCAAAATATAAGCAACTGCAAAAGAAATGAAAATATTTGATGTAGAGATAAAGACAAAAAGGTCAGTTCTGTCAGCGATGACGCAACAAAGAGCTCAGTAAAAGGGAAGCCCAACAAACGACTCCAAGTACAGGTCATTGTCAAACAATGCTGAAGAGATGATATAGCAGCCTACATGCAGGGTCACGGTGCTGCAGAAGGCCATCCTAGTTGACACTGGATAAGTCAGGACACATCAGCGTCTACGTCATACAGATAGACATACTGTATATACATTGTCTTGGATGCAGATCTGAGACAAAGAGATGGGTTATCAGGGGACTGCAGTCAAGACAAATCCTGCAACTCAATGTTTCTGTTACTCCAAATAGTCTTCATAAGGTCGTCATCATAACCTCATGACAAAACCATGGTTTAGTTTTTAAAATGTTCTCTTTAGGCTGCGTGAAAGAACACACATACACGTATAGTATATTTGATCTGGACTAGTGATGACAGAGTGTGAGGGTGTGTGTGTTGTGTATGTTTTTGTATACGAGCAGACTCAGGGTCACGGAGGAGGGACGTGGGGAGGAGGGGGCATGAAAAACCGCCTATATGAGGTCACTGGAGCAATCACTCACTTTAACAGGCAATGTGGAGGCATATCTCCCTCACACACACACACACACACACACACACACACACACACATGCACACACACACACACCCCCACACAACACTTCTTCCTCATCCACTCTTCTAAATCTCCGTCTTTCCCATGTAGACTTCCACATAAACCACCACAAATTTACAAGCTGTGACACTCCCCTCTCACACTCACATGTGTTGCAAATGTAAATCAATCTCAAACACATGCACTCACACATACACACACCGGCTCGCTCCATCTCTCCTCTGCAGCGCTGTGCCGCATAAATTAACTCTCGACCCTTCACACAATAGCCCACTTACAAGGTTAAACTGCTAATTATGGACCTCTCCATTAATAACACACGTGCACAGTCTTTTATGCAGATATTGACACACACATGATTACACCTGCACACAAGCACACACACACGCGCCCACACACACACACACACACACACAGTCTTAGTCAGATGTGTGACAGATTGATGCTTCCGTAGCAGGTTGTTGTCACATGCATCAGTCAAAGCTTCAGACACACACACACACACACACACACACTCACACTGAGGTGGTAATGTTTAAGGTAACAAATACACACGCTCTCAGTTTGGAGTCTCTGATGTTGGATCAGTTCAACTCTGAGCTGCAGGCTGAGGTCAGACTCGTCTTGTAGAATTATTGACACTAACAGGGCTCTAAAATGAGCCTGTTGACTGTTTTGTTGAATGAATATTTTGAATAAGCTATTATATTTTACATGAAATGTGTGCAGTGCTTAAATTAACTAAGTTTTCTATATTATTAAGGAGCGATGAATTTAGAGGGGCTTCTTTAGAGGCTGAGCATGTTTAGCTCTAGTTTCTGCTGTGTGTCCCTCACATTTGGTCCTCTTAGGCTCTTGTCTACAGTTCATCAGCTGTTTGATCGTGTTGAATTAGAGGCAGAGCCCATGGGTGATAGAAAACATTCATAACGACAAACTGAGGGGAGGGAAGCAAACAAACAGCTAGACCCTTTTTTTCAATCCACATACACAAAGGACTGATAATCGCAGGGCCATTTAAAACATTGTATTTGACACAATTTTAATTAGAAATGGCTATAATATAATTAAATGCTACTTTATATTAACAATCTTTTGTAAATCTTTGTTTTCCAGGTTTCAAGACAAGTACACTGTCACCAGCTGGTATAAACACTTTTTCTCTCATGCAGGCACATATTGAATGCATTACATATTACAATGAGTTTGAATGCACATGTCTACATTTTGGTGTGATTGTGGCTATCTGGACTCAATTTCTAATCATCAATATTCTCCTTTATGTAAAAGTGTTGTAAGTGGTAAGTTTCGGGAATGCAAAACAAAGGCAATCACCTGAAAGCAGGGCTGGCTCATGACAGTCAGTGGGCGTCCCTCTGGGGTGTAGGAGTGTCTCCTGATTCCCGTCATGCTCTCAGGTAAGGTCAAATGTGGTGAAGGGGGCGGGTCATCTGTTGGCTGGTGATAACGAATGAGCTTCGAGGAAGGAGCGTACCCTCTTCTGCCTGCATGGGAAATTAACAATTCAAGAAGGAGTATGTGTTAAAGATGTTACTGCACGATTAAATGGAAGAAACATTTACTTTTATAGCGGATTCATCTGCAGTAAGAATTAATGTATTGATTATTCTAAAAAATGTCGGTAAAATTTGCAACAGCACAGACTGAAGTTTAAAACTAGAAGATTTTGAAAATAACATTTATGAAGGTAGAATCAGGGAGTGGGAGATAACGGTTACTAAATAACTTTTTGATGTGGAAATTATCACTCTTTTTTTTTTCAAAGCAAAATCCCACTTTCAGTTCATGCTCTAGCAGTATAACCATTCCAGAAACTACCTGTTTGTTCGCTGGTTAATTGCAATAACAATTAACACCCAAAAGAGGGCGCCAACGAGCTGCATGAAGCTAAAGCTGCACTGACATCAGATTATTGTTGGCACCATCTGCAACCTCTGTGATTTCAGTTTCTACTTCTCAACATTTATTTCTACATTGGATATACATAAGTCAGTGTGGGTAATAATAGTTCTTTGCACATCTGTAAAAATAAACGGCAGATGTTTGTTAATTTCTGTCACATATTACTTGCTTAGAAATCAGAGAATTGTTTCATGTTTCAACAGGTTCTTGTTTTTTAACATTGTAACACGTTTCTCCAGCGTGTGGATGTTTGCTTCTTACCTCCAGCGTCGACGAGCCATCTTCTCTTGTCTCCGCGGGTGTCAGCCTCACTGATGATGGCCACCAGCTCCCCTTTGGCAAGGTTCAGGTCCAGATCCCGGCTGCCCACCACCGTCCCCACCACCTGGTAGATCTTTCCAGAACCGTGCTTATCCATCAGCTGCTTTAGTCGGCGCTGAAAAGATGGACTCTGAGGCTGAGGGAAAATAAAAGAGTTTGTGGATAACAGGGAAATGGAAGAATGACAGGTTTAAAAGAATGGTTATGTTGCAACACACATCTCTCCAAATCTATACTTCTTAATAAATGACTTAATCTGTAAGGGATTCTTTAAATCATTTTCTAAGTAGATCAAAGTAGAAAAGTTTTGGATTTAGCTTGTGACTTAATGAATTTCACAAAATCTGCAGATAAATCACAATTCAATTTTAGAAAATTCTGTTGATGACCAATTGGATTAAATATACTGTTTTAGCAGCAGCAATAATCCACCAGATAGATCAATAAGATACATATTTCTGTTAAAGTTATACATACAATTATTTTTATTCTTTGCCATTGTTCACATTTGAAAGTTAAAAAAATGCGTAACAATTAACAACAAGAACTTTTCACTGTGATTTTGCATACCCTAAGTTCTAATGTCACAAAAGCTCAGTAATAACATGAAACTTTTCCACATCTGAGAATATGTGACCATGCAGGGAAGGGATCAAGAGATCTTCAGAACAAGAAGAAGCACATTCATGACTTGTTTCTAATAATACATGAATAACACCGACGCTGTAGTTATGAATCACAACAATGACTCAGCAAATTCTTCAGCTTGAACAACATGTTGGAGGGAAGTATCACCTGTCAGAAGCTCTTCTCATTTTACCTTTGGTTATTTAGAAAACAAACAAATTGAAAGTGACTTTTTGTCAGTTTAAGGTATCTGACAGGTGGTGAGGCAGGCAGGAGGGGGACATATGTTAAAAGATATGTTGTTTGTTTGAGGGTGAATAAAAAGAAACAGACACAGAAGTTTTGTTCCTGATCAACAACCCCCCCAAAAAAAAAAAATGTGAGACAACAACTATTTTATCTCCATCTGTACCAACCTGGTCGACAGGGGCGTTAAGCGTGTCCTGTACACCTCGACACAAAGTCTCCAGCCTTCTGGCACCTTCCAGCACTGCAGACTCCGCCCACTCCCAGAATGCTTTGGGGCTGAGAGAGCTGTGAGGAAGCTTAAAGACATCAGAGAATAAGAACAAAATGAGTGAAAAAGTTCAATCACACCTTTGAAAGTCCTTAATGTTTTATCCTCTGTGGTTAGGGTCTGGAACAAAGCTTCATGGAGTTGTTTTTACTAGTTAACTGGGATAAATTCATTACAAGCACATACAAGACATATAGCTAAATGAATACAATTCTATATAAAGTAAACCTCCCATGACATTACCTGCTGTGCAAAGCTTTGGAAGAGCTGCTCCATGTCTGAGGCGAGGTCTTTCTGCAGACAGCTGAATGTCCCTAACATGCTCCAGATCATCTGCAGAGCCAAACCGTTGAACTGAGGAAGCTCGTTGAGGAGTAATGTGTTCATTGTCCTGTGAAGAGAGGAGATATTGAAATGCAAGATGACGTCAGCGAGAACCGCATTGTTGCACTTCTGACTTTTACATAATTGCAAGAAAATGTAGCGACATTGGTCTTATTGGGAACTTTGTGATCTATTTATTACTTATGATCCTCTCAAATTCTACTTTTTACACCACTACTGACTGGAAATTTGAGGAAGGCTTCTGTAAAAATAGAGCCACTGTTTGACACCGACTCAGATACACTCAGAGCTTCACAGTGTTTACACTGTTCTTCTCATTTGCTCAGCATTTAGCACTACATCCCTGAAGAGTGTAAAATAAACCTTTAAATTTGAGAACTCTGATGAGTAATCAGAGCGTGGAGATGAATTCCCCCGTGGTTCAATGCACTGACACAGAACGCCCATCAGTCCAGTGTGTAGCTTTAAAGCCTCCCTCTCTCTACCTGTACGTGTTAGCCACAGCCTGTTCCTCGTAGCTCAGACTGGACTTCTCACAGATCACTTCGTAGTCGAGCAGCTTGTCCAGCCTCTTCCTGATCAGGTTCCTCGGGCCCACCAGGAGGTCACGGAGTGCACACAGCGGCTTGTGGATCAACGTCCTCATCCTCTTCTCCTGCATGGAGGCAAAATTGGTGCTCGTCATCAGAAAAACGCTTTGTTAGTTACGCATAAATCCTTAAGACTTCATTCAAGACGGTCCATTCTGTTCAGAGAGTGTGTTTAATCATAATCTATGAGTAAGTTCTTTGTGCCTTTTCTTTTTCCTCAACACAATTTTCCCTGCAGATCAGTTTTTGTTTTGCTGCTTTGTCTCAAGTAAATACTGTTTCTGCTTCTTTTAAGTGTATGACATGATGGGTAGACTCACAAATGTAGGAAGAATCCACTGTCTGAGAGCTGTAGTGATCTCCTTGTAGCAAATAGGTGCCTTTTCTCCATCCATGTCGAAGTCAAACTCCTCTGTTTTGCAGGCCAGGAACCCCTGCGGACCAAAAAAATAGAAGAACATAAAAACCATGCTGAAATCTTGTTTGTTTGATTCTTTTTCAAAGTTAAAACTGGTTACCACATCTAAGTTAGAGCTTGTTAAAGAGATGTTGCTGGTGAACAGGCAAGACACGGTTAATTTAAGTAAGCATACAGCTTTCCTGCCATTTCAAAAATAACTGGCCCTTTATACGTTGGAAACTCTGAAAAACATTTTGGACTCCGTGCTGATCCTTGTTGGTTGGGCATAGAAAGAGGAAAAACTTCAACAGAGGCTAATTTTAGGGTGGAAATGTACACAGGAACTCATGTGTTTGACCTGTGGAGCCTCTGAGTTTACATGGTGTGATTCATAAACATGTACAAGAATAAATATCCAGCTATGTCCAACTTGTTCCACGTCTCCAGAGAGTCATAGATTCAAGTTTTGGTGTCCAGAATTATTTAGGTAATGTGTGCTTTCTTTAATCTTCACTGAAGTCCTGCATATGTTCTTAAGCACACTTACTGAACTGGTTGTTGCACTTTTGCACTGATGACTTTATTTTTGTTAGATTAAATTAATATCGAGGGAAAAAAGCAACAAAATTCCTCTGGAGCCCAAATCATTCACAGTATTATTTTGCCTTTACATATGAGTTGGTATTTACTTGTAATAAAGGGGGTCAATTACATCTATTACATTTCCTGTATAAAAATTGTGCTTCTCACATCGAAAAATCCACATTTACAGCTGAAACAGGCTTAAAGATAGAGCTAGAGGAGTCTTTTGTCTCAGAGCTGTGAGCTGGAAAACAGGACAGAGTAATCTGAAAACACCCAAAAACAAAAGTATTATCTGATTAGATGCCTCAGTTAATCAAATGTACAAACTGTGTTTAAAGCGAGTCTGAATCAAACAGAGGAAGCACGGTTACAAATCAATAATTGTGTACTCAGTTTTTACTACATGTCTTTACAAATCAACACCGAGATCAAATTGCCCTCACATTCTTACAAGAAAAGCTACAAGCAAGCACACACACACACACACAACAGAGACACAAACACACATGTGGGACATGAGCAGTATTTTGTAGACAGAACAAAGTCTGCAGTGTGAATGTAAACAAAGAAAAAACACATCCATGTTTACAGCCTCCTTATTGCCAGTGAGAAAGAAGTCTGGGAACATCAGATGTTTATGCCTTTCTTAAGGCAGATAAGCATTCCTGAGAGATAACAGGATATTTATTATGACCTTCACAAAACTGTCCAGGACTTTATTCAAACCAGAAATTGCACACATGACGCTCTAACCTTCAGAAATGTGTTGACCAATAGGAGTGTGTCCCTCCTGTATCCATATCAACACATATCCTGAAAAGTTTTTTACCTAGCACTATAGAATCATCTCGTCATGTTGAGGCTCATGTTATTTGTCAACTTAATTTAAGCCATAAACAATGGACATAAAGAGAGAATATTTTAACATCGGTAAGTAGAATGTTCAAACAAGCACGGCCTACCTGCAGGTGGTGCAGGTACATCTCCACGTTCTCCAGGAGCTCCAGGATGCCATGCTCCAGAACGTAAAAGAAACCTTCCAATGCGTCAAACTCCTCATCAACCAGCTATCAAACAACACACAGGCAGACACAAATAGATCTGTTAATTGATGATTAAACAGGATTTTCAAAAGGCCTGCAGAGTTCTGATCTGCACTTAAAATCATTTCCCACTCCATAGCTATTCATTTATTCAACTCTTAAAGTATAATATCCCTCAAAGGGCTTTGAGCTTATTGCTTGATTTTTTTTGCCTGCAAATGATCAGCTTGAAACAATTATTTGTAATGTTCCAAGTGGTATATCTTCATTTGCTGGAAAACAAGTTACAGGAATGAGAACATTTATTTTTAAGGAGCAATATTTAACTCTGACATATAGCTTTTAACATTGGTATTGCTGTCCAAATTCAAAACATTGGAGAGAGTAGTCTCCCTCAGTTCCCCTTCTCTTTCGCGTCAATGCACACGTGGGTTGCCTAGCAAACGGAGTGGCGTCCGACACAGCTGTGTGGGGGTGCCTTAAAACCGCCTACCTTCTCCGGTCAAAACAAAACAGACCCTTCCGGACCGGAATCAAAACTTAAGAGGAGGACAAACTGGCTGCTGCGTTGTTTTCAGAGAAGTCAGCACTTCAACATAGCATGTTTCCTTAATGTCTGATCATGTAGTAAGGTCACTTTATGATTTAATTCAGTAAATATATCTTGCATATTGCTCCTTTAACTTTTGGAGCAACCCTTTGGTCAGATCATAAAAACCTTATCAGACTGAAAGGTGTGACCTGGCAAAGCGCAGTGAAGCAGGTCAGCGCAAACAGCAGAGTCAATAAAAGGTCCCATTTTCTCTGCAGGTTGTCCACTTGTCTGATTAATCATTAACTACAGAATTGTAGTTTGAGTGGGTACTCAAAAAGGTTTCAGGAGCCTTGTAGAGTCACCTCAAACCATCCTTAAAGACGACTAACAAGTTACCTTTTTGATTCAAATTAGTTAGGATTTCTTTTCAATGTCCTGCTTCATGGAGAAGGGATCTTGTGTTGGCTCATGCACACTTCTGAAGGAAAGGATTTTTTTTTAACCCTTACCTTAGGTGCTATTCCAGTCTCGTGTTTGAAGTGCTGGCTGATCCTCGCCGTCTTCTTGGCGATGCTGTGAGTGTTGAGACGGTTGATCTTGTCCTTTATTGTCAGAGTTTCTGTTTTCTTGTATTTGTCAGCTACAATGGGACAATGGGAGAACGATGGATAGTTAATCTGGTGTACAGTTCTAGACCTTCCATTTTACATACATAGCTTTATAAGACGTTTTCATATCGCGATTCAGCAACAGTGCCGATATGAAGTTTTGTCGTAATCACACGCTTAGAGACTAATATTGTTTCCGCAACGGCGTAATATTGGTGTCCCAGTCTGTGAATTTGACATTGCTCGACGGCGTTGTGGAAGCACGAGAGAGCAAGGCACAGTGGGAGCTCCACATACACACACACACACTCAGACATCCACACACACACACACACACACACAGCACTGCTCTCCCCCGCTGGCTCCGCCCCTGTAACACCTCTATTACTAACTCCGGCACAGAGAGGGGGATAACGTCAGTGCGTGATAATGTCACAGGGGCGTAAATATCACACCTTGAAACGGCAGTCTGAATAGGGCTGTAGTCGCATATCAGCCTTCTACTCTCTAGAGAGTAATGCTATGGCTGTTTCATGACAAAAAGGCCAAAATAAGGTCTTCCTTAGTAGGCATTCTTTTCATACAGTAGACACTTTGAATAACAGTGCCTTGCTTCTCTTGTTCAATTTAAAAAGATCTCACCAGGTCAAAGGAATAACATCACATATTCTGTTGTCAGCACATACAGTAGGTAAATAGTTGATTTCCTGCCTCACCAACTTCTCTGAAGCGTTTGTACTCATTGATGCGACAGTTCAGGGCAATGGAGGTGTGAGCGGTCTGCTCCAAAAGGGCATATGCTGGGTGACTTTTCTCGGAGTGTTTCAGGATGGTCTGCAGGAGGAGTGGGTAACGAGCGATCCGCTGCACCGGCATCACCAAGAAGAAACTCAGAGAGGTGGCGTTTACTTCAGGCCTGGAGATAAACAGCAAATATCAACAGTCATGACTTAAGAACAATGAAAATCAACAACCGTCACAGGTTATGTCTATTGTTAATCCTTCTGTCCCAGTATCAAAAAACAGAAAATGTAACAACAAAAACCTACGCTGAGGTCTTGATGATTCTGACAATGTCGTTCCAGAGCGCCTCCTTCTGTTTGTAGCTGTTCTCCGTCACTGTGACGTTGTTGTAGTTTGCCAGGTACTCCCTGTAAGCTGCTTCAATATCTGAAGACAGGCTGAGGAACGACTCACCTGTCAGGAAAGTCAAATCATGCTTAGAGCAAAACACACAATCTGAAGTGTAATGACATTCCTTTTAAATAAGGGCTTCAAGCAATGTAAGATGTACTAACTTTAAAATGCCTACAGATGCCTTAAATTCATGGCAGTTCAGATTAGGTGTACCCTCCTTTAATTTGGCACAATCCACTGATTTAGTAGCAATAAACTGTTTACAGTGTACAGAGAAGCGTCCCACATGGGTCTAATTTCCATAATAAAGGAAGTGAAGTAAAAATACAGGAAGCAACTTTTAGTCCAGAAAGAGTCAAATATCTTCAGCTGTTAACTCTTGAATGTTGTTTTAACCATGTGTCAATACAGAAAAATACTCAGCCGACATTTCCAGGCACACATCCTTCACAATAAACACTAATGTGTTTGCATTAAGCGGAAGCTGCACCCATTACAAACTCCAGCCACCACCGATAGCGGAGACTGTCAGTGTGAGATAGTATGTTTGACATCATCTGACAGCAAGATTTTTTTTGTTGGTTTCCTGTCAACAAGTATAATCAAGAAAACTGATCTACAGGGGGAAGCAGTTGTGAAACCGGCAGCAGCTTCACTTCTTCTTAGCTAATTTAGCTCATATTGCCAGGTAACTAAGACAATGTCAGTCACTGACTTTTAAGTTGTTTTTGGGGCCTTTTTTGCCTGTATTAAATAGAACAGCTGAAGAGAGAGAGGAAGTCTTTGGAGGAGACAATGGGGGATGACAAGCAAAGGGCCTGGTTCGAATTCAAACCCACGCCAGCCACTGCCAGAGGACAACAGCCTCTGTACATGGGGGTGCACTGCATGCCTCTTATGTTATAGTTTGAACCCTTACAGAGAGTCTCCAGGTAGAGAGGGTCTCCTGGTTGGATCTGCTTCTGGTCCAACAGGCTGAGGAGACGACTCGACACGTTGATCACATCCTCTATGTACTGAAACATGCTGTCCAAGTTGGTAAGAGGAGGCTGTAGTGAGAAAAAATACAGGATTTAACTTGACGTACAGTACACACAGAATTACACTGTGTATTAGATAGAAGACTACTTAAATATCTGTCCAAGCTAGACACACATACACAATCATTCTTCTTCTCTACTGCCTGCGATAACAGCAGCTGTTCTGGGATCCAGTGTCAACCTGTTTCTTTTAAATCATTGTTATACATTTTTTTACAAATATAATCCACAATCAATGGCCCTTTCACTTTTTAAAAGTATTTAACATATTTTCGTCTTTATCTAATATCATTCTTGTGTTCATCCACAATTCTTCCGGTCCATTGACTCTAACCTGGTTGGATTCCTGGTTCTTTTTCTCCCTCTGGCTCTGCCCGTGTCTAAAAGCTGTTTTGTTCCAACCTACCGCAGGAACTTTTCTTATATCGTTCCACATTTTTATCTCAAATGCTTTTTGTTGCCTATACATAACTCTCTTTCCATCCAGTGAAACATTAATTATACTGTATGCCCAAATATAATCCACACATTTTTCTGCTTTGACTTTATTTATCAGCAATAAATGTCGATGAAACGTGCCAAAATTAGATATTTTTAATCATGGTACAATGCAGTCCTTCTGCAATAATTGTGACAGATTTTGCAATTTTGGCATTTTATCTTCATTGAAAAAATATTTGAAATAGTCTTAATGTGATTTTTGTTTTTGCTGTGGTCTGTGCAACACCAGGACTTTTCATAATGTTCAGAGAACATGATCTCTTGGCTGGGGTTTCTCCGAAGTTTCATTAACAATGTGTGGTTAAAAAAACAAATCATACAAACTGCTGCTCCTGGCATGCTAAATTGAACCGGCTATATTACGATTTCAATAATATTAAAAGTTATTGTTCGGTTGGGCTTAAATGCGAAGCGCAAAATAAACATAAAATAGATATTAAAAATAGTGATAAGTGCAAATGATCCCAGAGCACGTTGACATATTTTGATGGCTTGAATAAAATCAAAAAGTTGTTTCAGTTTTTTCTTACTAGCACAATTAATATGTTGTTTCATCTTCATCAGAACTTTATTATTGACATAGATCATAATAAGCATTGGCATCATGTCCTGCTTTGTGTTAAAAATTCAGATTTATTCACATTGAAAATGCAATGTCTCCCTTGTGCACTTTCCCCAAACGTGTCTGCTCCCTGACATGAAAAATTCTCCTGCACAGCTGATAAAGAGCCGTTTTGTTTGGCTCCATTCTGTTCCAATGAGACAACAGTGGGCCGTGCTGGAAGACTGAACAATCGGCACATTAACATGGAAAACAATCCAGGAACTTTTCTTGCACCACAATAGCCCCATTCAGCCAAATATTTATTCTATTTCTCGACCCCAGCCCTCTGTCTGTCTCTCCACAGCTTCACTCAGCTCTTCTCCTGCTGTGCTCACTTCCTCTCTCACATTCATAGTCCATATTTTTGCACACTTTTTACCTCCATCTTTCATTTTATTTTAATTCTCACCTTGGACAAATGCCACATAACCTAGATGAATCTTTCCCTAATATCTCCTTCATCAACCATTCTTCTATTCCCTATTTAATGTCCTCCTCTCAGCGGGTAATAGCAGCTCATAGTTATCCCTTCCATTCATTATTCCCATTTTCATTTCATTGCTCTTCATCTACAGTTCCCTTGGTGTGTGTTATCATTTCCATGCTCATCCTATCAGCCCATGAAGACTGATTCTATTATGTTTTACGGGGCCTCTTTTCATTACTGCATAATGAAGGATTATTCAGCAGTAATAAGCAATGAATCAGATGTAATGAAAAGCTAACAACAATCAAGCTGTGGACTGCATCTTCAGAACGGCTCCTCTGGAGGCTGCAGCGCATGAATGCATTAGATTTATTTAATACTTATCAAACTTCATATCTAAAAAAAATAAAATCGAAACACAGAACTCGATCATGGCTAAAAAAAATGATGGACAGCTTTTAAAATAATAAGCAGCAATTTAATCTATGTTAAAGCTTTGCTGATGATTGTTAATATAAGTTCTATATAAGTTCTATACAATATCTCTTCATCATCTGCAAGCAGAAGAAAAGGAACAAAATACCCTAAGTTGGGGTCACATGGAGGTAGATGAGATAGGGAGAGCATCTTTATGGGAGATAAAGAACTTTTTACTCAGGTTTGACAAATGAGCTCCTCCCAGGGCATTTGCATGTATGGAAGTATGAGAGCCTTGTTGGAATTCATGACAAATATGTGATGCCAAAGTTAAAAATGAATCTTCAACAAACACATTTAGAGATTTTTGCTCACTGTAATGCCCAAACAATGGCTTTAAAAATCTGTTTATAATTGTGGTGGAATTTCTGTAGTTATTTAGATTATAATGTATAGACGTCATTAGGTTTATTCACTGTTCTCTAATGTCAGTCAGACCTGACGGAGTTCAGATGTTATGATAACACCAAGTACAGCTTAGAGCGTGTCAACTGTTCTTCCTGATATCTGCAAGGATGTTTGGTAGACTTATTGTCTGCTCCAGTGTTATTGACGTCACAGATTAGTCTAGGTGGGTCAATGTGACACAACCCTGATAATAATGATGTCTTTTAGATTACATGCGATGCCTTTCGAAAAGTTCCGCAGATGTGATTGAGCAAGACACGAGTACGGAAGTGTGATGTTGAATCATGTCTCCTTGAGTATTCATCTTATGTATAAACTTTCATCAACGTAAGCCATCTGAGTCAACTGAGTTTTAATGAACGGAGTCAAGTCTTAGTAATTTCTTCAACAATAATAAATGGTAGATAAAAGGTCACATAATGCAAAAATACACTTATATGTGTCCCTAGTCTGTCTGCAAACCCCCCAGTTATGAGAAAAGTCCATCCTCTCTGTCTTTTACCTGCTCCACTTTTCAGAAAATGTGTGCTCAAACAGGCTGTTTGGAGATTTTCCCTTCATGACATCACAAAGGGCAGTAACCCCTCCCCCAGGTGAACAATAGGGCATGGAGCGAAAAAGCCTGAGCTGCCCAAGCCGTTCCAGAGAGGGGGCGTGGTCAGACACAGCTCATTTACATATTTAAAGGTACAGACACAGAAACAGCCTGTTCTGAGCAGGGCTGAAATAGAGGGGTTTATAGGCATGATCAAATACAGGATCAGAGTGGATTTAGAACAAGAAACTTCACAGACATGTTGTGGGGAGATCTGAGACTTATTCAAACTCGGTTTTTCAGTTATTCGGTTTTTCAGAGACTTTATAACCTGAATCTGTATTGTACTTCCTTTGTTTATGAGTTTTTGGTTGTACATTTTAATGTTTTTTTCTAAGATTTTGACTTCTGTCTATGTAAAGAAAAAATGCTAAGACCTCCACAATAGTCTCATAAGACTCGATTAACATTTTCATTATTTTTTGACAGGTTGCAAACAATTCATATGGAAATGAATCATCTGTTTCCATCCATGATTAATGCTACAAACACATCTGTCTTACCTGTAGTTGCTGCAGGTTGCTCCTGATGGTCACAGTGCTGACTTGCAGCAGTCGAAGGTAATTCCTCTCAGACATCACCAGCTCCTCTATAGCCAGCAGCTGCCTCTGAGCTGCTCTCTCTTTAGCTGCTTTTTCATCCTCTTCAGATTTCTTTCTGGCCTCCTCAGCCAGCCTCTCCTCCGATATGGAGCTCTCCTCTGAAAAGCTATCCTGTGCGGAAAGTTTAGATCCAGCAGTGAAAGTGTTTGTATCTGTAAGTTCTGAGCTGTCAGCTGGTGCCTCCACAAACACTGACACATTCGACTCCTCCTCTGAACTCAATGTCTCTTCTCCAAACTGATCTTTCTCTGTACTTCGGTCCATCTTCTCCTGGAGTTCGGTCATTAGCTCCTTCTTGGTGACTTTCTCTGCAGCGCCAATGGAAGAGAGAGCTGGTTTAGGGAGAGCCAGTGTGAAGGAGGAGGGCTGAGGCCTCCTGGGCACCTCCATGTTGGAGATCACTGTCGGAGAAAGACACAGTTTAGAACAAAGTTGTTCAACAATTTCACACTCACTGTTAGGCCTCTATTCAAAATGATAAAAGCTGTAATTGAAATTTGAAATCATTTAGTGCATAGAGTTAAGATTAAAAAGAGAGATAACGCCATGATTTCTAATTTCAACCTCAGAGTGCATAGCATACTCATCTGGATAAGATCTGCTTTTATTAGCCCTGTTCCAACTGTCCAGTCAAAGTATGATATGTACGCCCCTGCGACTTCTCGCCTTCAATATGAATGTCATGGGAAAACAAAGTGATCCCACCTCTGTACGGCTATCAGAGAGGTAGACGACGTTACAGGGGCGAGAAGGGATCAGCGCAGCCAGCAAGGGGAGTACAACGAATGTGTGTGTGTGTGTATGCATGTCCGAGGGATGTGAAGCTCCCGCATTTCTCTACATATCATGCTTTTCCAACGCCATAAAGCAGTGTGAATTCACAGTCTGGGAAACCAATATTACGCCGTTGCCTAAAAGATATGAAGGTACAAAGGCGTGATGTCGGAGGAGCTTCGTTACAGCGCACTCTGAAAAGGGCTTTCGATTGTCTGATTATCAGTGTGAAGGGCAACAGCTGCATGGTGCGCATTCCAATAGGGTCCTCAAACCCTTGAGTGCTCGGGCCCTAATTAAAAATACTAGGTCAAGTTCAGACATTTAACATCTCAGTCATTTCATTGTGGAGCCGTTTCAGCTTGAATGAGCAGCTTTACCTAACAAGAGATCAGTAGCAATGCTTTAAAAAGTCGAGTTAGAACTACTCCTTAGTTTAGGTGAAGGGAAAAGTTGTAAACATACTTGACCAATTGTGTTTTTATATTCTGAATACATTTTGAAGGGTTTTTTATGTACAATCATCTCTTGTTCTGTCAAATAATTTTTGACTGGGAGAACCTTTCAAACTAAAGCACCTTCATTGTTTGTCAACTATGATGTTTTTCCAGCGTCTCTCTAACCAACACATCCTAGGAGTCCACCTGGTAACATGTTTAGGTCCTCCTCCTCCTGTATAAGCACCGCCGTGTTGTCCAAACAGTGAAAGAGAGATGTCAAAGTGACACATAACACACATAAGACTGAGTCAAACTAAATGTAGGAGCTTGTTTATTTACAGATTGAAGAAGTGCAGAAAGTTGAAGATACGTTTCTCTGAACATCTGGTGCCAATCATTTCATCCACAGGAACATTCCTTGAATTTCTCTGCAGATAATGTAACATTCCTGAATCCTTAGGAAGTGAAGGGGACTCATAAAGAGATGACTAATCCAGCAGTCAGCAGCAGAGCGACAGATGACGAGGCTTTGTTTATATTGTTTACTTCACACCAACATGTGGAAGGGGGGGTGGGGGTATTGTCATGGATTCTCTGAGCTGGAACACCTCATGTCGGCTCACCGGGAGGCTGCCAGACGAACACAGTCAGCAACAGTGTTGTGACAATTAGCCTGTACAGTACATGATTCAGCCATCTGTGGCTTTAAAGCGCTAACTCTAATGGCAGTTTCATTTCTGACCGAGTGATTCAATTAGAACTTCTTTGAGAGGAGATGCTCATGACAGCATCAGAAAAAAAAGCTCTGGATGACACTGGATGGATGTTAGTGTTAAAGTTACTTAAAATTGATGAAGGGTAGAAATAAATACTTTAAACTTTTTCCTGCTCCTTTTCGAACATTACTTTATGTTTTGTGTTGAACATGGCGGTCGGCATTTTTGTTTAGGTTTCCTTGTCATATTTTCTTATTTAATCATTTACCTTTTTTATTGTTGTAAATAAAGATATCAAACGATTAACACCCCTCATCAGATTTCAGTTACTACTAAAGGACTAGAGATTGAATATGCAGCTCTAAAAGCGTGATACCAGGAATGCACCGATGCATCGGCTCAACATCGGTATCCGCCGATATCGGCCCTGTTGACAGACATCAGCACATCGGTAAATGATGTGGCATGAACCGCTGTCTTCAGCTGAAGTTTAATTTAATTGCTGCAATCTAGCACACCTAACTACTGATCCAGAGTGTTTTTTATTGGACAGAGGAAGTCACCTGTTGAACAAACTCTGTCTTGTTTTCATTGTCAAACATGAGAGAAAATGTGAGTTCACAGTTCACATTTGTTGTTGCTGCCGAAAAAGTGCAAAAACAAATGTTGATGTCCAAAGATCATCAAAATGATTGTTCTGAAAACCTTTCACTGATTCCTCCCACAGAAAAGAAAAACTATTACTGTACAAAAAAAGTCTTAAAACACTATTAAATAAGACATTAGACTTAATATGAATTGCCAAACACACTGACAATGAATAAATCATTTTGGTCAAACAGCTGCTGATTCCATATTTTGAGTTCATGGTCATTTTCAAAGGAGAGTTTTCGGACATAATGTGAATCGTCGGGCCTTATTCTGATCAGGAAATTGTCAAACAACTTAAACAAGCTTATGACATTTTAAAGACTAAGTTATGAATTGTGAAAATAATCCAAAGTTGACTCATAATGAAGATAATTATTTTAAGCAGGCAGCCATACTAAGACAAGACAATTCACAGAAACGTTTGGTAACGACTGTTTTTGATATCCTATAAGAACTCCACATTGCTTGATCAGTGCTGAAACACATGGATGTTCAATATGCAGCCCTCAGAGCTTTAACTTTAAACAATAAATACAACTGTGATTTCTTAAAGACCATAGTACTTCACACTCAGACACTAACATGACACCAGGCACTGTAATACAATACTTTGAAAGTAGGCAATTGTGACTGTAACCCTACCTCACAGATTTATCTTTTCCCTCCAACAACGGGGGTTTAGGGCTTAAGCAGCATATGGTGAGGTGACCCAATGTGGGGGATAACTGAGATTTACAACAAGAGCCTGGCATCCAACCTCAATTCTTTTTTAATGCGTAGACAACAATTATCAAAAACTGGATTTAAAGTGGCATCATTTTGGGGAAATAGTTCCTTATTTAAATTCAAATTTGAGTGGGTTTTTTTAGAGTTTTTTTTGTCAGGCAAAGTTGTTGACATGCTGTTTGTGTTTGAATACTGTAAAAAAACAGAAAACAAGAAAACAAGAAAACAAGAAAAACTTGTTTATAACTCTTAAAGGAAGGTACTTATAAGAGTAACAGCTTGGTACAGGTACCAACACTTTGACATCATATTAGCACTACCTACATGCTCTTTACAAATCATTAAGTCATATTAATTATTGCATGAAAACACACATAAATGAAACACATGACAACACTTCCTTTAAATCCCAAAACAAGTGTATCAGAGCTGCTGACTCATGAGACAAGTGCTGCTCAGGTTATGAACCAAAACCAGAGAAAACTCAACACTAATCCTGACCACAGCGTGTAAAAGTGACAGAGTATCATACAAAACATTTACATGACATCAAGCTGTTATTACCTTGTGCAGAATCCCTGATTCAGCTGTGTGAAGCTCGTTCTCCTCTCTCTCTCTCTCTCTTTCCTGTTGTGCTCTGTCCCGACTGAAGCAGAAATCTGCTGCAGAGGAGACGCTGCAGCACTGCAAACACACACACACATAAACGCACTAGTGTAACTTTCTCTGGTGACTCACACACACTGCTGGGCCTCATGTGGCAAGAGTGTGTTTGAGTGTGTGAGGGAGAAACACAGGGCATGAGTGTGTGAGGAATAAGGGGGGGATGGGAGTGGAAAGGAGGGTGGGCCGGTGGTTTTGTGAAGGAAAACGAGGGGAGGGGGAGGAAAGGGCTGCCACACACACACTCAACCACAGCTTCACACACACAAACACACTCATGCTGCTGAATAAGCTGATTGACTGCAGCAGCTGGTGGGAAGAGGAAGCGGCACTCACCCAGACAGACACCGATTGGCTGCAAAAGTCTTCACAGTGGAATGAAGGACCAATTAGAGGGCAGGTATAGAGGGTTCATGAAACTCTAAGCTGACCAGTCAGGGCGCAGCGTTGGAGTGATTGAAGTTTCCCTCTCACAGGAAACAAAAGCACAGCGTGACAGCCCATCCTCTCCTGATTGCAAAGGGATTGTCTGGATTTTCTGGTGGAAGGAAACAAAAAGGAGATTTACAGCTCACTCCTTTGGGTTTTTTCAGTCGGAATTAAAAGATTCATGGTTGTTGTTAGCGTCAAACAATCAAGCAGATAGTTGGGGGAAGATGCATGTTCGCTGAGCAGCGACAGGTTGGTTCAAAGGACTTCAGATTTTTAGTTGAGAAGACTTTGTATTTTGAAAGTCCAGGCAGGGAAAAACTTTTCAACTTTTCCTAAACATTCAAGATCGAGTTCAACCAGAAAAAAAAAAAAAAATCTAAAAAAAAAAGAAGGTGTGCAGCCTAACTAAAAGATGATCACTTCATTTTCTCTTTCACTCTGTCAAAACAAAGTGAAAAAGGAAGGAATCTCACATGTGATGCTACAAGCACTGGGAGTCAACAGCTGTGCTAACATCTGTACGAGGCTGTATTTGGGCTACGAAAACACAGATGTGTGGATGTAGCCCACAGCTTTGCCGGCAACTGTTGGGAAACACAGTTTATTTCTTTTTATGCATTGAACTCAAGTCTGTGATCACAATGACGATGCAGATTTTTCAAAAATATGAAATAGATATATACTGTATATTATGCCTTGATAAGTTAGAACTGCTGAAGAGAGAAATGTTGGGAGGAGAGAGCGGGGGATGACATGCAGTACAGGCCGAGGTCGGATTCGAACCCACGACTGCTGCGCTGAAGGCTATTGACTCCAAACATGGGCCGCACGTCATGACTGCTAGGCTATCAGCGCCCCTAAAAAAAAAGCACATTTTTGATACTTGTATTTGTTCAATTTCACTTCATGAACCAACACTTTTGACTAACACTAGACTTCTTTTCAGATCACCAATATAAACCTTGAGACACTGAAAAGGTGTTAGATTTATTATTGAGGATTTCCTAACTTGGGATAAGACTGAAGTTCGGTTAGTTAGAACGTTTTTGTAAAAAAACTACGCTGATATTTACATTGGAAGTTGTCCCTCTCCTACATAATGGGATTCGAGAAAACACATTCAAACAACACTTTCTAAAAAGGTACTTGGGTTCTCAGTGACAGCTTCATTCAGCTTCAGCACTTTCATAAGAATGTGTTCCACACCACAGGACCGATCTGTCACCTCACACAGCACAGCAAATCCATAGTTTGACACAGTGCAGAAAGGAGATGCTGCACTAAATCCCCCCAAAAAAGTAACAGGGTGGAGATTCAGTCCTGACAGAACAGAGACAGGATGCTATCATAACTTGATCTTCATCTCTGAAGAAAGGAGGCACTGGTCTGCTCTACTTTCCTCTGATGACTACATGTTGAAAACCGAACATGTTTTACTGGCAGAGCATAAAAAAAAAACTGATTCAGACAGCAGGTATTTTGATAATTTCTAGTGGAGGGTTTTCCTCCCCTTAAGCTGATTCAACAAAAACATTTGTCCACTTTTTCTGAATAAAACTGGTCTCAGAACACACACATTTAAATTTCCATCTTATCATGTGTCTGTGCACCCTGTAAACATGAAACTTAGATGATGCCATTAACCTTTACCAAAATGAGTGAGTTCATCACAGCCTTGATTGAGTCGGGAATGAGAGAGGCAGGAGGGCAGCTGCTAATCTGGTTCATTAGATAGGCATGACAGGGAGGAACGCTGCAGGACGACATTCTTTCATCAGCTGACTTATGTCCACGTGACGACAACTCAAGGTGTGTTGGAGACGTAATAAGTCTACACTTCAGGCATTTATCTCTTCAGCCACAATGAGTGCACACTTCTTCCTCTGGGGGAAAACCTCTGCCTTCACACGAGGTAAAGGGCTCTGTTACTATGGAGAATTCAGAAAACGTCTGCCTGTGCAAACCTCTGAGGCTTCTTCTGACAATGAAGCCAGACTGATACATGGGTTAGGATGGAAAATTGAGTAATAGTGTCTAAGTGAAGTCATATAGTACAGGATGTAGTTTCCTCTGGTTCACTCTCCCCTGAAGTAGAGCGTTGTTCCTCCAATGTTTTAAATGCATTGAACTTTAAAGTCAATCTGAACAATCCTTTTGTGTGCTGGATTACTCTGATCTTGTTTCCATATCAGGATTTGTTTAAATAGTTTACATTAGGGAATGTTATTTTATATTCTAACTGTATTCCGATATTAATAACTATTGATTGTTGTGCACATTATCTTCCTATCTCATCTTGTTTCAAATGATGAAAATGTTAATTTATTGAAATTAGGGCCCAAAACAAACTCCAGATAAGATAATTGGATTAAACTTCAATCACTGGGATAAACCGGAGAATCCTCTCTTGAGTAACTTGAAAATACTGTCACTAACATAAACTGTAGTGTGCTTTAGTGTTTTAGTACTTGAGATTTTTGAAGGTACCGGTCTCGTCTCGGAATCGAAAGCATTTTTACTTTTACCGGTCTGTGACTGGGCGGACTCCAGATTTCTATTCAAGAACGGTCAAGACCACCACTGTTATTTTCCCACGTCATTACTGTGATAAGAAGGAAAACACCCATTTCTAAAACAGCATATAACTTGTTCATATAACTAGTTTGATTTGTATCCCCCGGTTACAGCCGCAACCTTCCCAGTGTTACAGTCTAAATAAGAGACACGGCCTCCTACACACAAGATGATGATTTTTTTTGTGATATTTACGATCTTGGTCTTGAATGGTCTTGGTGCCTAAATGTCTTGGTCTCTGACCACCCTGTTCCCGGGTATGTCTTCTTGGTCTTGGTTACTGTGGTATTGACTACTGCTGTACTGACTAAAGTTGTATTATCTTTTTACAATTGATCTATGTGAATGTATGTGTGTGTAGGGGGGGCTATAATGATTTTTTGATTTTTTTTTAATTTACAATTAAATGTAATACATTTTTTTTATTTACAAAAAAATAATATTTACAAAAAAACTGACGATATAAATGCGTTTGATTAATTCGGCAAAGGGATTCCAATAGGCTATATAAGTTTTAACCTGGTTATCATGACACAGCATTTTTTTTAGCTATAATAACTGTGACATGAAATTTCCCAATCATCACAATGCATCTCTCTGTAAAGTTCAGTAGAAACATTTTAACACATGCTCATCACTCATTTCCATGACTCATGCTTCTATGTTTCCACCAAGTTTCTCAGAATATCTCGCAGACAGACAAACAGGACGGAAACAGTCTTCGATGGAGAGATTACGACTGATCAGAAGCGCTTTAGTTAAACTCTTTCTTTTGTTGACTTTGATGTTTAACTGGATAACTCAGGCTTTTAAAAAGTTCAGAAACTTCTTACAAAAACAAAGATCTCATCACTTTTTCGTCTGGACTTTCTGTCATAATCAATATTTATTTTGGATGGTTAGATTTTTGCAGTTTTACAACATGTAGGTGTAGCACATTAGTGAACATTCAGTCATGTGCTTGTTAGACATCAGAGTTTTAGACAGGGGCAGAATGTGAGTCCTGCTATGAGTACCATGAAAGCAGAGTCAGAGGTGGAAGGAGTGATGAGTGGTGTCTTAGTAAGAGAGCTAAATGTAGAACCATCTTCACTGTAATCACAGGGTTGGTCCAGTTCCTGACTGCTGTAGTGAACATGTCGGTTAAACATAAAGACACAGCTTGACTGTGGTCGTGTGTTCAGTAAAAATGACGTCATCTGCTGAACTGAAAGTTGTCAAAACTGTTGATAATAGCTCGTGTGAAGGGTTTCTCCTGCAGGCTGAGTGACAAACAGCTGATTAAAGATGACAACACTAAACCTGAAAAGCAGTGATGATCATTTCAGTCAGTGTTTGACACCCTCTCTGTTGAATCCTCAGGCTCGCTGCAGCGTTACACACAATGAGTGAGCATGACTGTGATTTACAGCAGAATAATGAGAAACACTCACGCCCTTAATTTGCTTTCTTTGCTCTGACCTAGAATTGGGCCAGTGAAGTTTTGTTGCCTCATTTGGTCTGTTTCACACTCTGACATACGCTGAGCTTTCTAAATAGGTTGCAGGTTTTGTAATCTGGCACTGGGGAAAGAAACTGGCAGCGAGGAGTGTATCACTGAGATATTCACTGGATGAAGAACTTCAAAGGCAGCAATGTGAATTATGTGAGGAGGAGGAGGAGGAGGAGGAGGAGGCGAGGAAGCAGCTCCATTAAGCTTAAGGGGACGATCAATATTTTCAAGCATGGCCGTGGTTTATATATTTTAGGTTTTAAAAGACAAATAAATACAACATGTTTTTGGTACTGCTTCAGTAAATCATTTAGTAAACGGGTTGTAATGTTGCATGAGTAAAACCTGAATGTCTCGCAGGATAAATGAAGTATTTATACATTTATCTGGGGCGGCAGTGGCTCGGTCTGCAGGGACTTGGGTTGGGAACCAGAGGGTCGCTGGTTCAAGTCCTGGTGCGGACAAAGTCTGGTAATTGGTCTGGTAACCTGAAGAGGTGCAAATTCACTGCAGAGGGGCCCCTGAGCAAAGGATTATTGCATGTTCATAGGATCCTGTTTGTGCATGTAAATCTATCCATCTATCTGTAGCTGCATCTTAATCCTTCGGCCTTTACCTCAGAATCAAAGTGCATCCAATAAAAGCTTTTTACTGCCTTTCACAGGCTCTGAAAATAATTCAAAGTTTCTGACAACAATACAGAAAGGGTCCCTACAAAACATGAAGCTTTTGTTAATGTAGCGAGTTCTTTGAAACCAGAAACAGCCTCCTCAAAGCAACCACACCTCAGTAATGAAAACAGCATATTTGACCTTACAGAACATGCTGCTATATTGCTGCCTGGATCAGTTTGTTTGTGTTGTTTTGTGACTTGTCGTTTCAAAGGGTTAGCTAAGATCCAAAACACCACAAACAACCGCACCATCCCAGCCACAGGTAAACAAGTGACTCCCGTCTTCTGCAAGCTATAATTACAGTTGTTTCAATGCTTCGGGTTTAAAAAAATGATCTAACACTAAAAAGATATATATATTTCTTAATATGTGTCAGTGGCAAAAACAAGCACGTTAGAAAAATCACAGAATCTGCCATGCTGCCCTGAAAGAAATGTTAATGACTACAGTAACAACATACAGGCAAGTAAGTGTTACCCAGAACATACAATTATACAATGTCAGAAAAGAGAAAATTGTTGTTTTCCAAAGCCCTTATGACATCGCTAAAAGTTGTTTATTATCAACAACTTGAAGATATTTTAATTTACCGCCATAAAGAAATAAAATAACAACACAAAATTCTTACATTTAAGAAGCTCGAATCTCATAAATGCTAGTGTTGTTTTTTTACAGAACTACTGAAACTGCTTATTGTTATCAAAATATCTGGCAATACATTCAATAGATGACTACATATGGATTATTTGTTGCGTCCTCAGTTGAGAAAGTACACACATAATTCATCAGACTTCAAGTTGTCTGCAATCTGAGTGCGAAAAACATGTTCTTCCAGAGGAGAAACAAATAAACGACATGTTTGTTCTTCAGATGAGAATCCTAATAGTTGACGTGCATGAACGTGAATGTAGAAGGTGAAGCTACCTCCACCAGGTTGTTTCACAGAATGATTAGAATGAAACACTGATAATAGACTGTATAATGATTACCTGTGTGGGTTATGTTTCTTCTGTCAGCGCCGGTCGGCTCAGGACACCAGAGGAAGCAGGAGGGAGGAGGAAACATCCCGGTATCCTTGGCTTCCTAATCACTGGAGAACAGGAAACACATTCAGACAGACTCAACATTATGGTTCACATCAACACACATTGGGGTTTTTCTTTTGTGTTTTTACTTCGGTCACGACAACTCCAAGTTTACCTCATGTGGGTTTAAATTTGACCTTCCTGTCTCTATTCGCTTAAAATCAGACAAATAATTCTGAGTTATTAGACAGCTGAAGCTTCAAATGACATTAAATAAACACACTAAGGGCATGATAATGACATAATGTTCAATGTGTTACTTTTATTACTATTGTTGCTTAATGAATAGTATTTTTCCTGGCATTTTTGGGGGGTTATTTATGTGGATTTTATTGTGATTTTCGCATGTTTAGACCCCAGGAATAGAAGTTGACACCTTGGTTATTCTAATAAGGATCAAAAATAAATATATGAAAAATAATTACAGACATAATGTGCCTTTAAAAGAAAAATCTGGAAACTAGAAATACAAGTTTAACTCAAAATAAATTGTGTTAAGTTGACCATAAAATATTACCCTCATGGGATAGAATTTCTGAACACAAATCTGAAACACACAGAGGAATATTTTTACAAAAATGCACATATAGTTAGACATACTCCAATTCAAATACATTAAGCTCCACCAGCAACAGGGGGGCATGACAGGCTATTTAAGAATTTAATTTTCACCATCTAATATAAAATAAAAACAATGAATGGCGTTTTTCGTACATTTCTTCCACAAATCAAGTTCTGAATGTCATATTTGTATGTGTCAGGTTAAATTCAGACATTTGGTGGTTAAAACGTGTCACCAAGATAAACAGCAGCCTGTTTAGGTCTTATTGTGGGTGATAGGAAAAGGGGGCGGCAACCACTCAAGAGACGATACATGTATTCTATTTACGATTTAAAGCATTGTTTCAATCAAATAGGGGACATGAGAAGATTTTACCTTCAGTAGATAGAAAATAAGCGAGGCAAAAAAAAAAAAAAAGCCTAATTTGGGTTGAGGGTCGGTTGGGGGATTAATTGGGTGCTGGCTGCTCCGTTTGTGTTTGAACAATTAAAACAACAGAATGACAAAGACATGAAATAAAACATTTACCTTTCTGTCACCGTCCTCTCCTCGGGTATCTCATCCAGCTGTGGTGTCCTCGCGAGCCCCGTGTTACTAACTCCGTGTTCACCTGTTGTCAGTCAGCGACCTGTCAAACACGCGTCATCAAATCATGAACACGACATCCGGTTACTCCTTTAGAAATAAAAGTCTAAAAATACAACAACGCCCATGTTGTTGTTGTTTTTTGTTTTTTTTTAGAGTGAACGCCTAACAAGGAATGTGCTCCGTATCAATTCAAAAAAAAAAAAAAAACATCTGTGTTTTTCTTGGACTTTAACTCTTGAAGAAAGACAGATTAAAGCAAATAAAGGTATATAAAAGACAAATACTTATCTTGCTGGCTCACCTCATCTCTCTAAAATATGCTAAACTTTGTTGACAGTTATTGTGTTGTTTTTTTTTTCAAAGATAAATCTCTAATTTGACCAATTGTCCTGGAAAAAAGCTGCTAACTCTACAATGTTTGTGTCTTCACTCCACGTCACCAGGGGGCGCCAGCGCCGCTGATACACGTTACTGCGTCAGAGGTGAAAGGTGAAGTGTCTGACAGAGCCGCATGCCTGATGTTGTGGTGTTGATGCAGGACGTTTAAAGGGATTTACAAGCTCTTGCTTATTATTGTCGGTGAGTTTGACATTTACCTGTGATGTTATCATGTTTTTGACACATCATTGTCCATAAAGGTTATTGAATAAACATCAGATCGGTTCTTATAGTTAGTTAAAACGTAAGATAGCACATCCATACACATTCCGGACCCCTTGCTGCCTCTCTTTGGTCTTAAAACAGCCAGCAAAGCAGCTTTTATACCATCCAAAGACTGGATGACCAGGATTAAATAAGACTCGGATCAGTGTGTGTGTGTTTGTGTGTGTTTGTGTGTTTGTGTGTTTGTGTGTGTATATAAATGAGGAGGAATGAAGTGGCTGTGATTAAAAGTTTATATGAAAATCTCTAACTGTGGTATAAATGAATGTTTACTTGCCACACAGTAGAAAGACTATTACATATTGAAAAACAAATTCATTTCAGCAGAAAGCTTCTTGTGTTTTTGATGTCTGGGGTCGCCAGAAACTCTTTTGTACACAACTACATAGATGTGTATTCATTACATCAGCTGTTGTTCTCAACAGGTTGCATTCCTTGCAGCTTCAGGAGTTTTGCAGCCCCTCAAGCTCCAGACTCAGACTCAGCTCCTGAGGTAAAATGCGTAACTTGAAGCTGCTGAAGAGCCTGAAGAGCTCAGAGCTGCAGGGGCCGGGCTCCCCGCAGTGTTTCTGTGTGCGGGCAGACACCGGATCACTGCTGGTTGCTTCTCACTACTCCATCACAGAATATGACCCACGGACTGGCCAGGTGAGCATGTGGTGGATGTTGTTGTTGTTTGTTGTTTCTGCTGCAGGCGGCGTTTAAATGCCTGTTTGTATTACATTCAAACAGCGAGAGATGACAATGTTCATTTGGAGATAATCAAGTCCCCATAATTCTGTTCTGCAGGTGGTCACCGAGGCGTCATTGACCGCTGAGGGTTTCCTCCCGGAGGACGGCAGCGGAGAGGTGGTGGGGTTGCAGGAATTGGCTGAACTCGAGTCGGCATGTTTGGCCACAGCTGGTGGCGACGTCATCCTCTTCAACCTCAACACGTGCAAGGTGAGCCGCTGAGGAAAGTTGGAAAATGTCTCCGAGTGGCTGTGTGCTAATCAGGAGTTGTTGGTTGTATGGTTCAGGTGTTTTATTGTTTAAATCAAGTTAGGATGAAGGACAACACATAATACAGTATGTGATCTGATCATATTCCACAGTTGGAGTGTGTTGGCAGTGTGGATAGTGGTCTGACCTCGATGTGTTGGAGTCCTGATGAGGAGCTCGTCATTCTCACTACTGGTATGTTCCCCCTTAAGTTTTGAACTTGGAATATTCACTCAGTCAACTTTTTTTTTTTTACTTTGACAGTACACTTTAGAAGTATTGAGTTATAATACTTTTTTTGTTCCAAAACTGTATAAGTTGTAAAGTAATTACAGAAGTTGTAAAAATAGTTTTTTGTTTCCTCAATAAAATGAGTTCTGTCAGAATAAACTCTTTCTTTAGATATAAACATATAAGTTAGATCAAAATCATTGCTTAAAAAAGTACTTTGTAATTTGAAAAATTTGCGTCTGAAGACAAAGACACAAAGAAGGAAGGTAGTCAAAAGGATTCTCAAGTTATCACTCCAGTCTCTTTCTACAGGTCAGGAGACGATCATTATGATGACGAAGGACTTTGAGCCAATCACTGAGGTTGGAATCCACCAGGACGACTTTGGTGAAGGTACGTCAGCTCCAACTGGTTCCTGTTAAAGATGAATGGATCCAAACCTAAAGGTTCATGACCCACAGGGGATCGCCAGTGGATTCAAGGACTGCAGTAAATGTTTGTGTCGTAGCTAAATGTGAAAGTAGGGTTGTGTTTTGTTGCGCAGGGAAGTTCATCACGGTTGGTTGGGGAAAGAAAGAGACTCAGTTTCACGGCTCGGAGGGGAAACAGGCAGCACAAAAGAAGATCCAGGTCGGTGTGTTCATTTATCATCACGGCTTAAAACATTGAAAATGTGTCAGAAATAGATCACGTGAAAACCTGTGTAATGAGAAATCATTCCGCATGGTGGTTACACACAACCGCAGGAGGTGCAGCCGGCTGCAGCCTGGGACGACCGGAGGCCGCGGGTGACCTGGCGAGGTGACGGACAGCTGTTTGCCGTCAGTGCTGTTTGTCCCCAGACTGGAGCGAGGAAGGTCCGGGTGTGGAACAGAGAGGGAGTCCTGCAGGCCACAAGTGAGACCATCAACGGCCTGGAGCAGGCGCTCTGCTGGAAGTAAGAGTGCTGCCACAACTCCTTTCTTTAATCCGTTTGCGTATCTCTAGATTTCTCTTTCACGTTGACCAAGAAGTCTCTCCTGGATTACTACAAATGTCCAATAAAGGAAGCAGCATTAGCAGTAGCCTGCGTGTATAATAACCTCTTCTGTTGTTTCAGACCCTCAGGGAGCCTGATAGCGAGCACTCAGCGTCATCCCAACAAACACAGCGTGGTTTTCATGGAGAAGAACGGACTGCTGCACGGAGACTTCACCCTACCTTTCAGCAAAGACCAGGCAACAGTATGTTCAGCTAAACCTGCCTCCAGTTTCAAAATGATCACATGATAAACTCTGGTGTATTTATGTCGCCGCTTACTTTTGCAGTACCATTTTTAAAACATTGTCTTAACGGGTGCACGTTTCAGGTGAAGGACCTCTTGTGGAACAGTGACTCCACTGTGTTAGCTGTTTGGTTGGAGGACATGACTGCTGGAGAAGACAAACAGGTCAACACTTACAGTGAGTTCAGACGGAGTTACAGCTTCAAGCTAGACATTTAAAAAAAAAAAAAAAAAAAGAGTTTGATCACTAAATCATCTCCAAAAAAAGTTATCACAATCCATGCAAACAAGACATTTAGCAAGCCAAACAGAAATAAAGAACCACTCCTTTACTCCTCCTTGGATCTTGAGATGAGCCACTAATGTCAGACTTTGAACTGTCACAAGCAGTATTTGGATTAAGAGATCACCATGGAGATCACCATGCCTAGCATATTCAAGTGTACAAGTCCATTCAAAGTCCCTATGAATGCAAAAGACTGATTTATATCTTGCACAGGATTCAAACTTTAAACACCGATCTGTCTGGCACCGTGCAAATGTTTTTATCCGTATACCCTCTTGAAAGAAATCTAAACTGATATGTCTCTGCAAGGAGGGGTTTCAAAAGTAGATAAATGCAAGAAAGACAAATAAATAAGTGATTAAATAGATTGTCTAGTGTAGGAGCCGCATTTAAGTTTATTGTATTTGCATTTTAATTTGTAGCTAATTGCGTGTGCGCCCTCGATAGGCGGAGTGGCGCGTCTGTAATGGGGAGTACAGAGTGCACCTGGGAGGGGAGACGGGTCACGGCGCATACCGTGATTGACCGCAGGCTCAGCAGTGGCGTTTAAGTACATGAATTACATGTTTTTTAGGTCATTGGAGACCTCACACATACTTTTTGGTTTACTTGGATTTGCAATAAAAACTATCAGCAACTTTAAGAATCAACTCTCACTGGATTTATTTTGGATCAAGGTCTGCGCGTTTGATGAACTGTTCCCGTTTCTTCCAAAGTGATAAAAACAAGAAAATACTGGAGAGGTTACAGGACAAACCTGATTTTTGAGTTTTTGCTACTTCATCTAGTATATGATTATTCCTTGTTAAATCTGTCCATGCTCTCTCTGAAGTCCAGCTGTGGTCGGTGGGGAACTACCACTGGTATCTGAAGCAGAGTCTGGACTTTGGCAGAGACTCTCAGAAGGCTCCGGTCTGTGTCTGCTGGGATCCTGAGCGGCCCCTGAGGCTCCACGTGGTGTCCAGCAACTGGACCTGCATCACCTACGACTGGGGCTGGACCACCGAGAGGAGCCCCGGGCTGGACGCCACCGACAATGCCAACGTGGCGGTGATTGACGGAGGTGAGAGCCAATGAGAAAAGAGAGGACCTAAAGATATCAGATGATTACAACTTGATGTTTCGACTCATTTATTGAAACCCCCTTCAGATAAAATCCTGATGACAACCTTCAGGCAGTGTGTGGTTCCTCCTCCCATGTGTTCATTTGAGCTCCAGATGACATCACCAGTCAACCAGGTGACCTTCCTCTGTCGACCTCAGAGGACCAATCAGCTGGCAGCATTAACCTCAGACGGACGCATCTCGGTCTACAGACAAGGTATGAAAGCAACTGTCAGAACGGTATGTGTTGGATTCTTTTTCACACCATTTATATTGCAGCTTCAGAAAATAAGATATGAGTAGCGAGAGGTAAATTCAGAAAAAACACAATCACAAAGGATCTTGGGTAGAAGGAGAACGATCTGTAGTTGAGCACAATAGAATCTATCTGGACAATGCTCATTCTAAGAATTATTTGAACCTCATTGCAAGCAACAACCGTGGTTTTCTACTCATCTTTCCCATTCTTATAAGTGTGATACATCTGGAATGCTCGGAGGAAATATCCTCAAATCCACAACAAATGTCAGCTTGCACTCAGAGATGAACTGGTTAGAGTAACGAGGTCAAAGGTTAAAGGCCACTGTGAGCTCTAGTCTCACTCGTGGAAAGGAGAAATCTCAGCAAGTCTTCAAAACACTGATTTGTATTGTATTGGCATATAATGTGATTTTTTTTTTTTTTTTTTTTTTGTCTTTACTTGACCTGCCAATGTTTCCAGATTCAGGAGAACAAGCTGAAAAAACAACAAATGCGTTCAGGACGATGTCTCGTCCTCTGGTCCTCCAGAAAACCTTCAGGTAACAACAACAAAAAACTGCTGTGCTGCTGTTTCCACATGGTGCACACTTGGTTGTCTGATCTCTAGTGTCCATTCACTGTCTCAGTAAGTTCCAAATAATGAACTGATAAGTGCTACTTTAAGTTTGGAGGTTATTTTCAGTTTGCAGGCTAAAATATGCAAACAGCCTGATTTATGTTCTTGTTCTGATCTTTTTTTTGTCTTTCTGCAGAGTGACAGTTCACCAGGACGAGCCTCTGGCTCTGCGGCAGCTGCTGTGGCTGGAAGACGAGCTGTTTGTGGGTGTGAGCCCCGGTCTGCTGCCGACCTCCTCCACCCTGCTGATGCTCCGCTCTGCTCCTGATGCTGATGACACTCTCACTGTCAGGTCAGCGGGGCCTTTTGTATCCTAGCTCATGAACTAAATAGAAACCAACAAAGTAAATGCCCGTTGTGAGTCAGGACTCAGCGTGGTGTTTCTGGTTTTTTTTCAGGTCAGAGGTGGAGGTGGACGGTATCGTCATCAGCACGGTGCACTGCTCTCAGACTGGCACTGTGGCCTTGCAGCTGGAGGACGGACAGATCAGGAAGCTGCTGTGGGGTCAGTCACCAAAACTCTTCTTCTGACTTCAAATTATATGATGTCTTAGTTACAATGAATTATAATCAAAATGTTTATTTTACGTTCTAAAAGCACCCTGCACAGCAAAGACGTTTTCCAAAGGGTCTGACTTTTTTTGCCTCCCAAATAGAAACATCATTGAACATCACAGTTTGTCGCTGTTAAAGTCATGAAAAATGACAGTTTATTCTATAAAGTCTACACTCCCTCTGCCAATAAAAGGCATATAGTCCAACCTATACAACAAGGCCCCAAGTCTCTAACTAGACTCTTCTCCTCTGTCGCCCCCCCTGGTGGTGGAACAAACTACCAAACTCCATTCGACCTGCAGAGTACCTTTGCACCTTTAGGAAAAAGCTAAAGACCCAGCTCTTTCATGAATACCTACGCACCTTGATGATGAGGATGACGATAATGAGGATGGTTTTGATGGTCTTCGCTTTGGATAAAAGCGTCTGCAAAGTCAATTGTAGAGTTGAACTTAATTCTCTGCTGTGTGTTTGTGTTTCAGTTACCCCAAGTTTACAGATCTAAATGCAAAAGATGTTATTTTCTTTCATCAAAACAACGGATTTAAAAGACGTTGTTGTAGTAGTAGAGGTAGATTATCTCTTTGTGCTTTAATTAGATATTCATACTTGCTTTAAATATCAAGGAACATGTCAGCTTAGAAGCATAAACCCTCATCTGGTTATTTAAAGACAACTATCTCCTATTTTGTACATTTTTCTTTGTAGATCGTCCTGAGCTGTCGGTGGAGGAATGGCGTGACTCCAGCGGATGTAGCATCAACTTTCCTGTTCCCTGCGTTCAGACTGCACTCTGCAGCATCAGTGGAGAGGTACATACGCACTTACACATAACGATATGTTCCCTGTTTATGAGTTCTCTAAACGTTCTCTCTTTGTTTGGCCTCCTTGTCTCCAGGATTACCTACTGGGCCTGACAGACAGGTCCCACCTGTACGCAGGAGACACAGAAGTAAGCCGTCAGCTTTCATAGCACCTTCCTTTTAGGATGTGTTCAGCAAAAGAGACAAGTTTCATGGTAGTTGTGTCCATTTCTGTCTGCCTCTCTCTCAGCTGGCCTCTAATATTTCCTCCTTTGCCGTTTGCAACGACTTCCTCCTCATCACAACACACTCCCACACCTGCCGCTGCCTCCAACTGAGCGCGCTCAGTATCAAAGGTAAGATCACGAAAGGGATGCGTTCTCAGTTACAAAAACAGTCACGACTAGGAATATTTTAAATGTGAGGTAGATGTTCCCGCTGGTAAATGATTTTTTTTAATGACCCTGCAGGGCTGCAGGTGGCCTTGGCGTCAGATGGAGTTCAGAATGACGAGACTCTGAGGCGGGTGGAGAGGGGATCCAGGATCGTCACTGTGGTCCCACAGGACACCAGAGTGATACTTCAGGTGAGTTGAACACAAATCCACACAAACCTGATGCTACATTTCCCTGTTACGCTGCTAACACGACAGCAGCCTCAAAAGTTTACATTCATCGGACTATTATGTTTTCATGCAATGCTCAGTATCACTGTTATATTTCTTGTGTGCAAAGTGAAAACGTTTGAAGGTGTATTGTTTCATTTGTTTGGTGTGTTCGTGTCCAGATGCCCCGTGGAAACCTGGAGACGGTGCATCATCGAGCGCTGCTATTGGCTCAGCTCAGGAAGTGGTTGGACGGGTGAGTTTGATGTTCTTCTATTTCATGGTTCTTGATGAACGTTTTTCAGCGAGAATTATTTGTTTAAATAATGCCAAAGCAATCTGTGATCCTTTAATAACAAAATACAACCTTTTAAATGCTTAAAACGTACACAATTGTCTTGATGTGATTTTCAGAATGTGTAACCTGAAACTCAGATTGAGCAAAATTTAAGAAAATATACTTTATAAATCCTGTGAGGGGAAATTCAATTTACATTCTGTTGTTGTAAATGCTTCACACACATGCACAAAAAGGATCCTCTGTACATGCACTAATGGAGAGATGTCAGGGGGAGGAGGCTGCCCTGGTGAGCTACCAGACCAATTCCTGTATTTGGTTTGCACCGGGGCTTGAGCCGACGACGCTCTGGTTCCCAACCCAGGTCCCTACAGACTGAGCTGCTGCTGCCAGCCTAAATGCTTACATGTCACAATACTGTGCCAGATTGTTTAATACACTCCCACCTGTTGTTTGTCTGCTTTGCAGTTTGAGGTTCAGAGATGCTTTTGAGTCAATGAGGAAGCTGAGGATCAACCTGAACTTTATCTATGATCACAACCCAAAGGTAAATTAAACCAGTGTAGTTCTTTTTCCACAGCAGAAAGTGAAGTATTACGATTTTTGAAGAGTTTGGGAAGCTGAAGTAAAAACTGAAGTGAACACTTGAGCGAAAGATAAATGGTGAATTAAAAAGCATTGAAATGGTAAACTAGTGTTTTTAGGGGTAAGGTTAGTTTGACTCTTCTTATTTCTTACCCTTAACATTATAAGGTAATGCACAAATATTAGAAAAACACAAAACCAAACATTGACGCCTCGGAGGTTTCTCTTAGCTCACATTTCACGGTCTGTTTCTACCTTCAGGTTTTCTTGGAGAATATCAAGACATTCATCACACAGCTCAACTCCATCAACCACGTCAACCTCTTCCTCACCGAGCTCAAGTCAGACTCTTCAGATTCACCTGAGAAGATTTAGACTTCAAAGACAAAAACAACTCTCGTGTTTGACTCGCACATTTCTTTTCTTTTCAGGGAGGAGGACACAACCAGCAGCATGTACCCCCGTCCTGAGGGCAGTCCTGTCCACACTCCTCCTGCGTCCGGGCAGAAGAAGGTGGATGTGGTTTGTGATGCTTTGAGGAGCGCCATGGAGTCAATGGATCACAACAAGTCAGTAATTCGAAAGCAACACCTTATCATGCAAGAGGAAGGTGATGTTTTATTAAACCATCATGTTGTCTTCCATCCAGGTTCTTTCTGTCCATACTGACGGCTCATGTGAAGAAGACGCTTCCTGAGCTGGAGATCGCTCTGCAGAAAGTCCACGAGCTTCGGGGTGAGCATGCTGATGAGCTGCTGCACTGCATGAAAAGTTGGATTTGACCTCTGACCCCCCCCCCCCTTGCTTGTTCCTTCGCAATAATTAACGGCATAGGCAAACGTTGTCGTAAACTTCCCGGGCGTTTACAGGGCTGATAATCTGTTTTTTTCTTGCAGTGCTGAAGTCTGTGATAAGGCTAAACTCTCTTTCTCTTTTTACACACACACACACACACACACACACACACACACACACTGGAGCAGGAGCAGGAGCAAACATTGAGAGCAGATGGTTCCTCTCATCATTTCCTGTGTTTGTGTTTGTTGTACAGTGAACCCTCCTCAGGCTCCCGGTGCCGTGAACGCCGAAGAGGCGTTGAAGTACCTCCTCTTCCTCGTCAATGTCAACGACCTGTACGAACACTCGCTGGGAACGTACGACTTTGATCTGGTGCTCATGGTGGCTGAAAAGTCCCAGAAGGTACAAGTGAACACATCATGTCCCTTCTCTTGTTTTCACTCTGATGACTTAAATGCGTGTTAGAAAATACTTCAGGGCAGTAATAAAAAAAAAAAAAAAACGGAAATCCAAAGAATCCCAACATTTTATAAATCAAACACAATCATCCATCTCAAAGAGGCTATTACGCTAGCCCTCACTTTTGATTTAGACACACCAGAAATATTCACGACCTCTGTATTTTGAAGCATTTGAATGTTTTCGAGGAAGCAGGCGGATATAAAACAACAAAACAGCAGGCGGATATAAAACAACAAAACAAAAAACGAGGCAATATAGGTGCTAAAAACCAAACAGGTTGTAAATATACAGATTGTGGCACGTTGACAATCTTTTACAAAAAGAGAAATGTAGGATATGAAGAGAGAAAAGATGTAACTTTCAAAATAATAGCCAGAGTTATGACATTGATATCTCCAGACTTTGAAAAGATTGAAAACCACTATCATAGCAAAAAACACGTTGTTTTTTTTTACACTTGTTATGTAACTCAACAGTAAGTGGCGGATGAATTACTGAGTATGTATCTATATAATTTCCGGATCTCTGCAGGACCCCAAAGAGTACCTTCCATTCTTAAACATGCTGAAGAGCCTGGAGCCAAACTACCAGCGCTACACCATCGACAAACACCTGAAACGCTACAGGAAGGCCCTGCATCACCTCAGCAAGTGTGGTCAGTCAGCTCTACATTTTATTCCTGCTGCTCTTTTTTTTTTTTTTTTTTAAAGGAAGTAATTCTGAGTAAAATGATGAGTTAACTCTGGGAGTCTAAAAAAAAACGTGGAATAGAAAGCTGTGAATGATTTGATCTTTTATTTTTGTAGTTACCTTATCTCTGTCGTGCTTTGTGTTCAGGAGAGGAACATTTCCATGAAGCTCTGCAGCTCGTCAAGGAGCAAAGACTCTACAGTGAAGCTCTGCGGCTCTACACAGCAGACAGTGCTCACTACAAGGTAAAGAGGAAAACACCCGAGGGACTCGCACGGTGTAAACGTCTGACTTCACCGTGTGTGACCTGCAGTATTCATCATTTAAACTATTTTATTACAACGTGGGATTTTAAACACAGAGTAAACAAACTTTGCCTAATTGTACGAGGCTGAAGATGCACTCGACACACTCGTCACATCTCTCTGATCTAAAAAAAAAAGAAAATCAAGCTTTTCGGCGGGGTGACACTGTGAGAACACTTTGATCTTTGACTTCTAGGCTCTGAGTTGTGCTTATGCAGAGCACCTCATGGAGCAGCAGCAGGCGGAGCAGGCCGGCTTGTTGCTATGGAGATGTGGAGAGTTAGCCAGCGCCCTGCAGGCGTTCACCAGCAGCTCCAGCTGGAGAAACGCCATCTGTGTGGCCCAGCAGATCCCGCTTCCACCGGACCAGTTAGCTCTGCTGGCCAGAGACCTGGCAGGTAACCATGACGACAGGTTGATGCTAATGCAGCTAGCCAATTAAGGGTTTAGGCATTGGACAATTTATTGTATGTAAAAAAATATATATCGAGATTGTTTTTGTTTTCTCTTACAGAGAAGCTGACTGAACAGCGACGGTACTCAGAAGCTGCTCTGCTGTTGGACCAGTACGCTAAAGTAAGATCCTCCGCAGACAGAAGCTTGCTACTTCAGATCAACAAGACGAAGCATGTTAATGTTGATTTGGTGGATAGGATTTCTGAGTGAGAAAAGGAAAGTCTTCTGTTTGTTAAAATGAAAAGGTCTGTTTTTTTGTTTTGTTTCCAACAGGACTGTGAGGAGGCCATCTTGGCTCTGATCACTGGGGCAGTCTGGGAGGAGGCGCTCAGACTGGTCAGTAAAGATAAAAGCCTTTTTTCTTTTTTGAAACATTTATATACGAGTTGATTCACTTTTCACATCTGGAAATATGAAAAGCACTTAAAATTCAGTTAAAGCACATTTTTAGGTACAGGATTTGAACTGAGAATAATTTCCGGTAACACAAGCAGTTCTTTGATGTTTGATTCTTATATGTCTCACTTCAGTCTTATATGAGATGTTTTCTTGTCTTGTCTGTTTTCAGATTTACATGCACAACAGGCAGGACATCACTGAGACCAACCTCAAACCTGCACTGCTGGAAGGTAACGAAGGATCAGACTGATCTCTTCAGCTGTGTTCAATACCCAGCTGTTCTGACACTGTTTTATCGTACTCAGTACTCAGAACTCACATTTTATCAGCCGACTATTTCTTTAACATTGTCTTGGTTTTTGCTATTTTGTCTTGTTTTAATTGTAAAGGACTTTGTAACTTTAGGAAGTTTTAAATCAGGGTCTTAAAAAGAGGTCTCAAGTCTTAAATTTATCTTAGAGAGTCTTGGGGACATTCTGAATATAAATGAAGTTCTAATTATAATTATCTTAAATATATAACAAGTACTAGAGAAGCTATAAGAAAAAACTTTGGGGTTTTTTTCAATGTGTGATGTCATCGTGGTGTCTTGTTTCAGCCGTCAGCTCTCAGACCGCCTTCCTGGAGGCTCAGGTAGCGACGTTCACTCGGCACAGGACTCGCCTGGCTGTGGTCAGAGAGCAGAAAGAGAAGGCCAGGCTGGACATGCTGGGTGAGAACTCGTCGGAATAGACTTGACTTTTAATCTCTTAAAACAATTTATTTGACTTGAAGTTTATTCATCAGAATTCACCTTTTTTTTTAAAAATTTTTTATATAACAAAATGTAATATTACTTATAATCATATATACTGGCTAAATCTCAGCTTGACAAAAAAATGTATTTCTTGAAGTAGAATGACCCAAATATTCAGGAAAACAATCTCAGTCTGTACACTGAATATATTTTAGCCTTATTTTCAACATGCAGCATGCAAAGCCAAAAAAGGAAGGAAATGAGAAATGGGTTAATTAGTAATTATTTCATGGTTGTATTCTGCTGTTGGAACGATAATAAAATCCTACCTGTGTCACCTGTTTTTCTCCCTCATCAGATGAGGACGGTCCAGACTGTCCTGATGCAGAGCTTTATTCTGAAGCCAGCAGCGTGATGACCGGTTCCAAATACTCCCACAGCAACTCCCGCATCTCCTCGTAAGACCTTCACACTCACCTTCAAGTTATTAAGAGTCTAGTTAAGTCCAGTATTGTCAAGTTTGCCTGTGAGGAGGATACTTTTTTTATATTTTATGGTGAATGGTTTCCATGCTCTGCCTGCAGGAGATCATCGAAGAACCGCCGGAAAGCCGAGCGGAAGAAGATGAGTCTGAAGGAGGGAAGCCCGATGGAGGACCGAGCGCTGATGTGTGCCATGAGTGACATCATCACCACCGTGGACAAGATGAGAGGTACGGGAACAAACACTTACAGGCTCTAATATCTTTCAGCTTTACCTCACATTAGATTTTGCAATGTGGAGATGAAATAGCAGCCGAGGACGATGGAAATGTGGTCTTATTTTACAGAAGCGTTTAAAAACATTCTCTTACAAAATCGTAATGATTTTGAACCGCTGAGCTCTGTAGTTGTCTGTGTAATCAGTTCATCCAGTTGGACTCACAGCTCATGTGTCCCTTCCAGAGGAAATGCACAACCTGCTGAAGGCGCTGCTGATGTTCCAGTTCGACAAACAGGCAGAGAAGCTGCAGAAGGCGTACGAGGAGGCTCTGCAGATGATGGAGGCAGCGGCCCCTGAGGTGTGGCCCGAAGGCCAGCAGAACAATCAAGCGCCGGTAAATAAAATAACAACATATCATTACATCTTTTAAACCTGCCGTTTAAACATGCTTTCATCAGATCTACTTTAAAGGCCTGTTACTCACATTGTTTTCACATTGTTCACTCAGTAAAACAAGTCTCTACGTAGGTTTTTAACTTGAATCAAAGAATTTGAATCAAAATTAGAAATTATTGAAAATGGAGACACGTGTACTTCTATGTTTGCAGTATTTTTCGTTATTTTTAATACTTGACATGATCTTTGTATCTTCTTCTGTGTGTTTGTAAATGAAACTCTGATCTTATTCTTTATTATTATTTTAGCTAACTGGACCAAACTCGACCGCAAACAGCATCATGGCGTCTTTCCAGCAGCAGCAGAGACCTGCAGCTCCACTACAAGGTCAGCACATGTTAAGGCATTAAATTACACTTGTACATTATCTTATATTGTTTCATCAGGCAAAACACGTAGTTCACCATAAAATTCAGTAAAGATATTTTGAGTGTGCCACGGGTTATTGATTTATTTTTATTTTCCGTCACAGTTAGCACAACTAACACCATTTCTCTATTTCCAGTATTTATTATGACTTTTATTAAATCATTTTTTTTCTCCGTAGCTGCTGAAGTCCTGACGCCACCGAAGATGAGAAGCGGCGTCAAGTGGAAGCTGACTGTTCTGACATAAGTTAGTTTTGTTTGTGAACTTGTTTTAACTGTAAATTCTGATGGTTAGTATGTCATAAATAAAGATTCAGGTAAATGTCTCCTCTCAGTGAATGTCCTCGTTTTCAATTCCTGAAGTCCAGAAACCTTCTACACATCTATAGTCTTACTTCATTAAAAACCATTCAACCCACCACAACACGATAAAAATGACTTTTTAAGTAGGAATGAAATCTGACTGGTTTTCCTTTATGTGGATCAAAAGTTGATTTTATTGTATTTGTAGGCATCATGACATCACCGAAAACAGAATTGTTTGGCCTTAAATACAATTATCATCTTGAGGGTCGATGACCCTGTGCACTCATCCGGGGTGCAGGTCGAGCAGGAACAAGACAGCTTTCAAGATCAGAGTGAGCCAGTGCACACCGAGACTCTTCAGATAGACTTCAAAGTTTAGTGCATATAAAGCATTAGAGCGAAGAACGTGTTTCACATTATGGCTTCCTCAGGTTCACTCTCCACTTGATATTAAATGTATGCAAGTTGATATTTTGTGTATTGAGATGACTTTAGTTGTCACATGACCTGTAATTATCACCACCTGGTGACAGAGAAAAGTATTGTAAACCCACACCTGACGCTGATCAAGAAGAGCGGACCTCAGGAAGCCACAATTCGCTCCAATGTTTTATATGCATCAAACTTTAAAGTCTATCTGAACATTCCTGGTGTGCGCTGGATTACTCTGACATTTATCATCTTGTTTAAAGGATATTGTTCCCTCAGTTTGTTCTGCTGCTCCACAGCAGGAGATAACACGGTTTATTTCTGAGGCGTGTTTGTCTACTGGTGTAAAAGTTTCATGGTGCCTACTGTTGGTCCTTGATAAATAACACCAGTGGAAATACTGACATGAAAGCAGCGAGAATCAGTGTCTCTGAACCAAGTCCTGCTCTGTTCTCACATTCAATCACCATCAGACCTTCTTTGCCCGTTTGGCAGCCGCAGCAGCAGCAGCAGCGCGTCGCCGGTTCATCGCTTTGGTGGTAACGCGGAGCTTACGCAGGCGGAGCTGTCGTAGCCGGAGCTGCAGGTCTTTGGGCAGTTTGCCTCCCTTTGCTAAAATCTCTTTTAGCCTCTGGTTGGGCATCTTGGTGAGGTTGAAGTCACAGATGGTGGGGAAGAAGTCGTACATGACCTGGCAGGTGCGAGAGGAGGGGAAGTAGCCCTCTGCGCTGGCCGTCACCCGGTACTCACCGGGGTTCAGGAGCCGCCAGTAATCACCATCAGCAACTGGAAGTGGAGCGATTTACACAAAGTAACAGTAAGCACTCAGGAAGAAATGAACAACTGTGAGAAAATACAGTTAAATTATCTGGCAATTTTAAATGCATCCCAATCACTAAATTTTTTCCTGCAATGCAAACTTCAAATCAAGAATAAACTCCACTAGACGAACATATTAGTGTGTCATGAGGTACATGAATCAAATGTGTTTCAACATAAGTATCTGGAAGAGTTTGAAAGAGGAGTAATATTTCAAAAATTTGACTAATAACTTCAAATGTAGGTCCCAACAGCCCTTGATCTAATAAATATCTGATGTGAGACTGTACCTGATCTGATGTGATGATCTATGTCATCCACTTTAATAATGGCATCAGGTATACCAGCCTCTGTGTCCTTGTCCCGAACTATCCCTTTAATGCCACGGTGGACCTAAAAAAAAAGAACGGGAAAAAAAGGGGATATAAACTTTTCTTCCCATGTATGGACCCAACTTATTTCAGATGTTCAACATTTTTAAGAGTTTTTAAAATTAAAGGAAGAAAAGAAAATATGTTAAGATAAAGAGGCAAACAAAACGTGATAAAAAAGACATTATTAAAACGATCAGTATCTCAGTTGAAGTCATCAAAGGCAGACAGCACCTGTTCCATGTAAACCAGCAGAGACTCTCTGTTGTTCTCCCACTCGATGGGAAGCTCGCTGGCATGAGGGAATTTATCACAGGATAACTCCACCGTCACCTCGAAACAGTTTGTGTGCAGGTAGCTGAAGTCATTCATACCTGCAAGGAGAACAAAAAACAAACGCACAGAAATCATTTTAGTTAATTAATTCTCTAGTGAAGACTCAATGGTGTACTCTGTCACTATCTATAATAAGACAGAAAGTATACAAGGCACACGACCTACAGAACAGCATGCATAAGATTTTATCAGGACAAAGCCTGAAAGTTGACTTTGCTTCTATAGAAGAGGCGTGCTGATTTGTTGGTTAACAGTCAGGACTGAATCAGAATGAATTGACTTTAAAAAAAAACACACACATTCTTACTTCCTGGTACGTTGTGCCACTCGGCTCCATTGATGATGTTGTTGTATCTGAGGAAGTCCTTGTTGTGACACGGCCGCCGGTCTGGGTTGGACATCACCTGGTTATAACAGGAGACACAGAAACATGTTGAGGAAAAACGTGTTTCCACGCAGGGGGCTTCACGAGGGCAGGAAGGGGGCACGGAGGTGTAGGATCAACCTGATTGGTGCTGGCGTACGCTGTGGCCAACCAGCGGAAGAAGCTCTCATCAGAGGTGGGCGTGTGCTCCTGAGGCGCCCAGTCCCGGGTCATGTCAAACGGGTAAGTGACCACCAACTCTCCACCGTGGAGGTTAGCGCCCAGAACAAAGGGGATGTTCTGCATCCAGTTGATCACAGCTCTGGTCTCTGATGCCACCTAGGGATGATGATTGACACACGTTTCGCCGATTTTAACATCTTCATTTCATTACTTTTGTCAAAATTCCTTTAAATGCATGCATCTTAACTTGGGCTGTATTCATTTTATTTATTTATTTTCTCTATGTTTAGTCCATTGACTGTGCAAAAGTGAAGCCTAAATGCAGAATGCCCTCCAACTGCATTCTACTGCATACAAAATAAAAGTTTCTACTTTCAAAAGCCGAGGGTAAAGCTGCAGTGCTTTTTCATGGCATGTGTTAGAAACTTACAAAAGCATCCTCTGAGGTGTACTGCTCTGGGATGGGGAAGTAGTGGTTGATGAGTTTGGACCGGTCCGTCTCCAGCTCGATGGCGTTCCACATCACCGAGTTGAGATCAGCGAAGTTGTGGTTCATGTCGATGCCTTCATAGCTGTAACGACCGAAAGCCCAGCCTGCCAACTCTGAGCCCTGAGGAGTAGAGAAAGAGGAGTGAAGCCTTTCTTCACTTAAGTCTGGAACAATGGAGATTACGACACGTACCTTTTTAAAGGCCATCTCGTATCCGTCAGGGTTCATGGAAGGCAGCAGGTGGATGCGGGTGTCTTTGATGAGGCGGACGATGCGCTGGTCACCGCGTTTGTACTCCTGACACAAGTACTCCATCAGATTGAGGAGAATTTCTCGGCCCAGCGCCTCATTCCCATGCATCCCTGCAACATACCGAAACTCTGGTTCTCCTGCAGGGGGCGCCATAACACAAACATAGGCATGGAGTTAACAGCGCTGGCTTTGATATAGTACATCTTTTGACATGGTTCATGTTTTATTTTTTCTGTGTTTTAAATGGAATTGAGTTATTAGAGGGAAAAAGTTCAAAGATCTTGAAACAAATCAGAGCAAGACCCAAGATGGCAACGTCATAAAATCTTTGAGGAAGCAATGTACTACCTCTACCAGATACTTTTATCATTTCAGTATGTGACACATTTATTCAGTATTTTCATAAACAAGAGATCCTTATTTAGCAAAGAGTAGAATTTAAGGCAAGAAGACCTCACTTAAAATGTTAATACTTGGATACAATCTGTGCTTTCATTAAATCTCCAGCACAGATCAACCCTCTGAGAGCGGCCCCAGTAAAAGACCTGGATCTGTTTCCTGTTTGTTCTGCATACACTGCGCTGACAGGCATCTTTGAAATCTCACACATCCTCTTCACAACTCTGTTTATGAGCAGGACTTTCAGCCCACTTTGAGTTTCTCACATGCTGGTTGTGCTGGTTACCTTATCTTGGTTTGTCCAGGCTTGTTTTGCATGCAGCCATCAGCGTGTGTGCATACGAAATGTCTTTCCATTTCAGTTAATCTGGTTTTCCTTTCTTATTATTCTGTAAACTTTGAAGGATTTGGCCCATGCATTTTAAGTTAATCAATCTTACCATGACTAGACACAAAGACTTAACTAGTTGCCCGGTCAAGACAGCAGCACCAACATGGACTTCTTAACTGGGTTTGTATGTTCTCACTGTAACCACCAAGAAGACAGAAAATACTGGAAACACATGGAACGTTAACCAGTCACCACACCAATGCTTGCCACTGGAAAAAAGACGTGAAATCAGGTCACAGACTGAGTTGAGTGTGTAAGGGAAAAACTGATATTTTCCTTTGTGCCAATTATCTGAAGTCCCTCTAAAGGAACTTCACAGGAAGTCCTTAAAAAAGAATGTTTGACTCATTTTTTTAAACTTTCCCCCCTTCCCAAGGTTAATTTTCTTTAAGTGGGTATTTTAGTGGGTACTTTAAGTGGGTATTATATTTTCTTTATATTTTCTTTATATTTTCTTTTAACACACTTTCCGTAAGTGTGTTAAAAACAAAGATTGTACATTGGGATGGCATGGACTCTGGGCCTCTTCAGTTTTCTAAAGCAGTAATGCCTTACACCTGCATTCTTTCTCATGCCCACCAGGAGAGACTCCACTGTTCAAAGGAGAAAGTCCTATTCTATTCCACTGAATTCTAAGAGAAACTTATTTCCACAATAAACATTTTGCTGATGACTTCATTGTCTTTGATAACTACTTATCGAACCAGTCATACTTAAAAGCCCTTTGAGAAGTTAGTCGTATTTACACTAAACTTTGTGCGAAAAGCCAATTTTAAAATCTGCATCCCAATATAATAGGGCTAATGTGAGTAAAAGATGCAACTTGCTAACCCAGCTAGTGATTTTGGTAGCTTTGGTAGCGGGTCTTAAGGCTCCTGACAAACACCTATGCCGCGCCCGTCCATCAGTCAGACCCCTTATTATGACGAACTTGTCAGGTTGTGGAGGCAGCAGGCTAAACAAGACCCAGACTTTCCTCTCTCTCACCAACGTGTTCCAGCTCCTCCTGGGGGACACAGAGGTCTTCCTAGGTCAGATGAGATGTATAATCACTCCAGGGTGCTCAGGGTTAACCCCAGGGTCTCCTCCCAGTTGGACTAGACCGGACAACTGTAGCCCAAGCAGTTGTTTATCTTCTGATCTTGCCTTAACTCCAAAATTTTACCAACATATGAGTTTGTATTTCTGATGATGGTCACAGAACCTGCTGAAGCATAGACTGCTACATCCTACAAAACCGCAGTAATCAAATTAAAATAGTTTGTTTTACTGGGCACTGCTCTAAAAATATGTCCAGAAGCTCATGAGTGATGTCACAAAGGACACGCCCACATCTTATCGACAGTCTCTGACTGAAAAAATCTGTAATATATTTGATAAATGAGTATAATCCTGGATGTCTGAATCGATGGACATTGCTATCCCTCGGCTCCCTTTTTCTGCGGTTCGTTTCGGCGGGAAAACTTCTCCATTTTGGATGAGTTGAGGAGGCCAAAGAAAACATTTGTTCACCTCAGCGCAAACCAAGTGTTACTCCGGTCTGTGTGAGTTTATGTGTCACACAGTGAAGGACTGCCTGTGTAGTTTCGGAGGGTTGGGATTCAGTGCCAGCTGCAGTTGATGTCCCTTCTTAAATTACTGTGATCACACAGCAGCGTCTGTCCCTCATTAGACTGAATGATTGATTTTAGTGCAGCAGAAGATGTGTGGCTGTGGTCGTATGTAGGAGGCTGAATATTTAGTTACAGGTGTATTTATTCAAAACCCTCTCCATTGCAAAGTGTTTTATCTTCAACTTATTAATTTCACATAAAGAGCTCCCCTGACAAATCTTACTTTAGTTTTTAAAATATTAGTTACGTTTTAGTCTTTCAAATGAATAGAATTATTTTTTTCCCCAACTGGATCTTCTACATTTCAGAAATAACCCACAATGGACGCCAGGTTTATTTTGTTCTCTTTTAAAACCGATCTGGTAGCACAGGTTTTTCATCCCACCTGTCTCCCGTGTGTCTCACCCAGTTCGTGTTTTCCAGGGTTGTCAGAGATCTCCATGACGTAGAGCTTCAGCCCCTTGTAACTCTTCCCGATGCTGTAGATCCGGGTGATGTCAGGACAGGCCTCGTTCACCGCCTTCATCAGCTGGAAAACAAAGACAAAGCTGTGTGAAGACGTCAGAATGAGACTGTCATCTGATAGAGCTGTTCAGCGCAATATAACGACAGTATCACTGATGATAAATAAGATCTGTTTATCTACACCAACAAACATTAAACCTCAGAAATGCACTTTAATATGAACTAATTAATGCTTTTGGCCAGCATGGACCATGAACAAAATATGAACAATAGTTTGAGCCAATGTTGCATCACTTTAAAGCTATGGCAGTTTGACATTTACAGTAGGCTATCTTGTTGTTGTGTTCTTGCAGCCTTAGTGACCGTATTTGGACGAAAGGATGTACACTTTGGTCCAGCAGGAAACATCTACCTGTCTAAATGGGATCACAATTTGGTAAAATTAACACTGTGCTGTGTTGCTAAACAATTGAGAGACTTGAAATGAGGTTAAGACAAATTTATTGGGAAAATGTTATCTGGGGTAAAAATTCAAGGTAAAAGATTTCCATTTCCAGACGCAGTTCCTATTAGACTTTTTCTTAAGGGGCGCTTACACTAGGCCCTGTTGCCCCGTATCGTAGCACAACTGTTGTCTTCTTTAATGAGGTCTACGGTGTGGGCATGTTTCAGATTCAAAACAAGATTACATTTCTGCATGCATGACGTACAGTTGGGCCTCAATGACTTCTCTTTAAGTTCATTATGGTGGGTTTTTTTGTCTGAGAGAAGAGACTTCATACATCACAGAAGAAAATGGAGGCTCATGACTGAATACCAGCAGCGGACTAAAGTAATCAATCAATCAATCAGTCTTTATTTGTATAGCGTGTTATCTCGAGACACTTTACAAAAAGCAGGTAAAAGACCTTACTCATCTATTTTACATTTGAAAACAACCAATTAAATCTTCTAAACACCTTGAATCTAAAACTTTTAAACTTGAGTCTCAGAATTTTCCCTGTACCCGTATGTCAGCATTTTTGATTGACTTTACTGTGGAACTGAGCGAGGACAAATGATTTAGATAAACTATTGGGGAGTTGGTTTGTCGCCTGTCTGCAGATAAACATGCACTTTCGTCCTTAGTCTGGTCTTAGTGGTTAATTATTGAATGTATTTTCACATGTGGAATGTGAATCTCTGTTTGTTTCTGTGGGCTGTTTTCTGACCATCAGATGCATGACTGCGTCTCCACACAGACCGCTGGTAGTGTCAGCGAGGTGACGACGCTGCCATGAGGGAGTGAAGCTTTTCATAATATTTGTTCATGGTCTGACTGAAGGCAGCCCGCACACATTCTGTGGGAGCTTCCCCAACTCTCTTCAAACAGGCACATTTCTCAGTGTGAGAGTTTTATTTTGAACATTTCTTGAGTTAGTTAAAGTCCAGTTTTTTTCCAACTGCTCAAAGAAACCAGTGAAAATAGAATGAAGTGACAACTCCATTAGCATCTTCTTTAAAGTCATTGTTGTCATCCCTGAAAAACAAAAAGAAAGCCATCTATCTTCACATTATTAAACTATCATTTAGATTTTGGACACTGCTTGACCTTTCTCATCTCTTTGTAGTTGTGGTGTCTGAAGTCCAATTTGTCTTTGGACGCAGCTGGCTCTGTCTGCCATGGGTAGATATTATTTGGATCTATAAAAAGAGTTAAAGTGCATGTGAAAGAGAATACAAAATGTAAACATTTAGGTCAAATCTTTGTATCTAGGAGTTTACTTCCTCTACCTGGGACAGTGCAGCCCAACACCTCGGCCCTGAGGCAGATGTCACCCTGCGTGCCGTTCTCGTACCACGTCTGAGGGTTGATCCGGATGTAACGGGCCACGGTGGAAGTGTTGAAAAGAGCGAGGACGGGCGTATCCGCATCCTGGTTTCCTTCAAATACCTGCAGCACAAAAAGACAGTGAAAAAAAATCTCAAATCATGTTGAACAAGAGGTCAAAGATGCAAAACATCAAATTATAACGGTGAAATCCTGCAATGGACTTAACATTTGGCCCGACAATAATTTTCTTCACTCATTTGTCTCTGCTATGTAAACTTGTGTGGTGCCCCCATGGAAAAAAAAAAGTCTCTGCATGATTGACACTTCTTGCCCACATGTGGTTGTGGCACACATGCACTATAACCAGCTGAATACACAAACATGAGGCAACGCCTTCAAGCTAGTTCAGGCAGTAAACTTGAGCTGCACTGATCTCACACTTAATGTGCCTCATGCCTCATTCTCAACAGTCTCCTGACTTCACCTCCAGTGGTCTATTAAAGCTGCACGATTTCTGACCTCTCCCTCTGCCCTTTCATTGCCTGGTCTGACCTGCAGCAGTACTGCACTCTAGCTCAGCACCCACCACCCCAGCATCCACCTGTAGGCTCCGACTGGGGAGTTTAAGATATCATCCAATCACTCCTCAAATTCCTGCATGTAAATTAAAACCGCAAGGAGGGATTAGGTCGGAGCCTGGACGCCAAACACAACCTATGTTCTGCTGCAATAAATATTTTAAATGATACAAACACGAGTTGTCTGACTGAACTAACCAAGTATGCAGTATTTCCTCAGCCTTTTAAAGCATACAGAGTGACCGACGAGGAGAGGAGATTCATGACTTTTATAAAACCTTATAGAGCTGTAGTCAGAACTATGTAGACAACAGACCGCATGATGCATCATATAAGCGTTTGATTCCTGAAAAAGGGAGGACGCGCTTACTATGTGAACATGTCTAGATTGTTAAATTGCTGTTAAAGAATAAATAAAAGAATTTTGCAGGAAGAAAATGTTCATGTCCTTAAATAACACTGATGACCAAACATTTCCTTGTTGGAACAGTGGTAATTATTTCTCGTTCTCTTCTATAAACCAACATTAAAGTTACTAAGTGGAGTTTAAAACATGTATACATCCTCATGTATAAACTGTTAATGTTTTTTATTGCCAGTAACAAATACTGTAGTGACTTTAGCCTGTCCCTGTCAATCTTGGGACCTTCAAGACCCAGTCTAGTTTATGTCTTCATGAAAATAAAAATGATGGGAACCGGCAAGTTTTGCCTGCTGACTTCTTCCTTCAATGGTGCTGAAACTGGCTCGGCTATTTGGATTGTAATTTAATCCAAATGATGAAAGGTGAAAAAGGAACAGTTTCATTACAATCACACACCAAAATCATAAAAAAAAGAAAGTACTGGGAGACAAATGAGAGAGCTTATGATTAGAATGTCAAAGTTGTGAAAAGCTGCGAAATCTGAAACCAAAAGTAGGAAAAATGTATGAAAGTGGAGAGTAAAAAGAAGTCCTCTTGAATGTTCACTTACGGCCTCTTCAGTCCCGTTCATAGACGGCTTCCAGACCAACGAGTCATTACTGAACTGCACCTTGTAGGTGTAGACCACGTCCCAACTGTGTGCGAATAGGAAACATTCAGACGTTTTCATGTGACACACAAACGCACCGTGCAGTAGAGCTCGAGTCACAATAAAAACCTCAACCTGGATTAGTCATTATTTCTACTTATAAATTAAATCAGAAAAGATCGTAATAAAGGAGAGAAGAAACCTGTAATGTATGTGTTTTTGAAATAAACAGAACTATACAGTGCAGGCTAATGGAATGACTTTTTTGTTATGTAATCAGATAAATGTTATACAGGTACAGTGCTGACTTTTAGCTTTTATTTGAAAGTCACATAAACTGTATAAAAGTAAAATACTTTCATACAACATCTTTGAAAAGGAACTACATTTCCCAGAGCTCCCTTGGACTTCAGATAATCTTCACCTTAATAACTTACCTCCAGATGGAGTTTCGACCCTGCAGGAGGACACCGGTAAAGCGAGTCAGTCGCAGAGCGTCGACCTCCAGCCACTGCTTCTCGTCTCTGTACTGAGCACACCAAGCTCCATCGTAGATATCGCCATCCTCTATCCCAGACTGCAACACACATGCACACACGAGGACACAACACAAAGAAACACACACTGACATTAGCTGTAGTGTGTGTAGATTATATTTTTTTGTCTGCTGTTAGTCTGTGACTGATCATACCTGGATGTTGAGTCGTCCTCGGTGGGGGCCCAGACCTCTGCGCTTGAAGGAAGACGCCTTTAGCTGATTGTCTTTGACCTTCAGGGACTCCAGACCCAGAGGAGGACATTCTGACACATTAAACAAGAGTTTATTCACCATTTGAACAATATTTAACCATAATAATAAAGGGTGGAGAAGCAAAGCAAGAAGAAGCAAGCGTCTAGAGGTCGGATTTTAGTTTATTGTGCAACATAGACTGTAATTAAGAAGTCAACTTAGGCTTTGGGTTTGAAGTGAAGCTGATAAGAAAATTGTGTTTATTTCGTCCAAATCCTTTGTCCAATTTACAATGAACTAGACAACAATACAGTAGATTATGCTTTGAGAATGGTTACCAAATGATTACCAAGTCCAGCCTCTCGTCCACATATGGTCACTTCTGGCTCAGTCAAAACCCCAAATTCAAGACTTCAAAATAGTGGTCAAACAAACCAGTTGGTTGGTGTAGTGGTTACTACGTCTATGCCTTATATACAGTCTATATTGTGCACAGACTAAACATTGAATTCAAAAAAGCTCTACAATTCTACAATTCACTTAGCAGATGCTTTTATCCAAAGCAACGTACATCAGAGAGTAAGTACAACACAAGCAAGGATCTAGAAAAAAGGGAACAATGTCAGTAAGAGCAAACGATCAGCTCTGAGTCCGATTGGACACACAGGTGCTGACAGGAAGTGACCAGAGGCAAAGCACAACATTGACGGCAGTTCTTGAGAGCTCTAATCAGTATAGAAACCATCTTATAAGACATCGTTATCAAACAAAAACCATCATCACAACCATCATCATCATCAATGATATGGAGACCATCATCATTAAGTTAGTAGGTATTCATGAAAGAGCTGGGTCTTTAGCTTTTTCTTAAAGGTGCAGAGGGACTCTGCAGATCGAATGCAGTTTGGATGGGCTCTAAGAGACAAACAAACTAAAAGTCAGAAGGACAACAACAAAAAATGTCAAAGACACAACCAACTGCCTATTGCATAGCAGTTGAAAGATGAAAACTTAATAAAATAAAGTTAAATGTAGAGATGTGTTTGACTAACATGTGAGGCTTTCTCACCACAATCAGAGAAAGCCTCACGTTGTTCTTAAACGTTTTCACTTGTAATTAAGAACTTTTATGGTAAGATGTAAAGACTTAACAGGTTTACAAATTAAGTCACCATGGCAAATTAAAACAGCAGCAAATAGTAGAGAAAATGTGAAAGACAGAAAAAGTGTGATTATTATAGAGGGTGAAATGTTTTTCAACTCGTCCAGCGTCCTCTGCTTGCCGTGTTAAAACCTCAGACAGACCCTCATTGTCTGCAGGGTTCAGCTCGGTTCATACTGTGTCATCCTGCCAGCAGGCTTTACTGGCTGCTAGAAAGTCATTGGCTAAGGTATAGAGGCAGAAAATAAATGCTAAATGTAGGTGGCATTTCATTTAATCACCTCTTTCCCCATTTTGCCTTGTAGTCCAGCTGGCTCTTTGCTGTCATACAGTGTTACTCAGCTCTAATGAGTTTGTAATGTCTTTGTCGTCGATGTGACCGGTGGATTCCCGCCAAACCACAAACTACTGAAGCTGAGCCAGAGAGACCTGGCAAGCTCACAAGGATGCCCAGAGGAGAATAAAAAAAAAACATTCATTAAACTTTGTTACGCTGAGGAAGCCCCAGACTCAGTGTGATTTATTTTTTCTCCCAGTTAAATTTATTTACCCAGATAATCGTCTGTTTGATGGTTAGGGGGGGGCATCTTGATTTATTTTCTGTTGCAAAGAAGGAAACGAGGAAAATTATGTTTTGTAGAGAACAGTATTATCTCTCTTTGTTGTCTCCTGCTTTGAACTGAGGGCATTAGCTTTTCCACTACATGGAACATAAAGCAAGATTTGTACTAATACCTCACAATGCCTCAATGCTTCACACCTCGCACTTTAGATCAGATCACCCAGGAGGGATGATAAACGTGTAAACAGGGCCTTGGCTTTACTTGACTTGATGTGCGACTTCCCCATCAACATGTCGAGTCAGGATGTAAATGTCGCTTAGTAAGCATTTATTTCCTTCATAAGCTAATCTTTGTTGAGACGTTCACCTCTCGATACATGCATCATTATAAAAGTGCTCTATGTACACAAACTGACTCAGCTGGCTCATTTCCCGGTCCAGTGCTCGTACTCATATATGGATACAATCACAACGATTTGTGGAACATGAGGTTTCTTAAATATACATTTGCACGGGCAAATACACAAAGCAGTTGGGAAACAGAGACATGTGAACCACAGTTCATGTCATTCAGTACAAACCTCCATAGAATAATGTGGCTCTTGAGGAGTTTGAGTTCAAGTACCAGTAGTAAGGGATACCATAACAAAAAATGTCCTTACAAGCTTGTTTGTTTTAGTGTTTGACAAGAGATAAGGAAGGAGACATACTGCCTACAGAGAAGGAATGACAAAGAAGGCGAAGGCAGACATGAAGAAAATCAAAGGAAGGACGACAGCAAATTGGGAAAATTCTCAGACTTGAGCACAGGAAACATTTTAAATGTCTGCAGAAGCAAAAAAAAATAAAAGTCAACTTTATGGTCAATAAGATTTCTGAACAACTAACATTTGTATTAAGCACAATGGAAAACTTTGACTATCACCTGAGAAAGGGAACATTTTCACAAAACACTGAAAATGCAGTTTTCAAATTTGAACGAACCTGTATCTGAGAGATAGATAAGGCATCTTCAGATATCACCTTATTTCTTTGAAGCTGTTAGTATTTTGACATTGAAAAACATTAGATTTAGCAAGTCCTCTCTGTTATTTAAAGCTTCACTTTAAGACTTAAAGTGAAGCTTGGAATTTGAAGCAGCGAGTTGAATTAGTTTCCTCCTCGACGGGTTGAGATATACAGTATGTGAAATGTTACCATGGGAATCAGATCTGGGTCTGAATAAGTGTTGAATTAGCAAATAGTTTTATAGTTAGTTTGGACCTTTTCTTGGGTGGGTTTGCATCAGCTAACAATTCAGTGTGTCTGTGTGAGCTTCAAACTCCCCATTAAACCTTTACACATAGGTGTGAAAGGTATTTATGGGTCTGAAAAAAAAACACCAGAGACTAATTGAATTGTCCTGACACAGCAAATCCCCACATGTTTAAAGCAAGCAAAGTACCTAAAACTATTTGCCCCTAATATCTGACCCGTGTCTGATTGACATACTGTATACATTTGGGCTAATCCCCATACATACGTGGGACTGTCTCCCTGGCTGCTGACCGGCTCACACTGTGTTTGACCTGAGGTTTGGTTTTCTTAACCACCTTTGTCTTCTTGGTGATTCGTTTGGATTTCTTCAGGATCTTTTTGGGCTTCTTTGCTACCTTAACACTCCTTGTTGACCTCCTTTCTAGAAAAATGCAAACCTTTATATGCATCGTATAGAAAGCCTGCATACCTCCAGCTCAGACATCTATAAGGTACACAGAACATCGTTTTATATACATTTTCACTATAAAAGAAAACATTATGAGACATATTAAGAAATGTGTTCATTACATTTATCTACATATGAGAACATATCTATACATTTTATTTTATTTTATTTTATCGTTTTGTTCCCTTGATCTCCACTCATTAATCTCATTTTCCTGGAATAGGGAGTTCATTTTAGTCATTTTCTTGGGATCTGGACAAATTTACTCGAAATTACAGGAAAATTGAGAAAAATAAAATGTATTGACGTATATCCGCTTGAGGCTTCTGTAGTTAACACTCTTATATCTGTCTGTTAAAGTTGAAGCAACAGACATTGGGAGGTTAAAACAAAAAGATTGAATGTATGGGGAAACTGGATTAACACAGTCATCCTCAGCCTCTGTGTCTGAAAAGTTAAACTGATACAGCGATGCCTTAAACCTGTTTTCTGTCTATTGGCTTGCAGAGGGAGACTCTACATTAGAACCTACATTTTGTATAAAACCTGAGCCAAAATGAGCATCCCAATTAATATCACAGTTACTCTTAAATGTGGAAAAACCTTGCTAACCAAGCTAGTGCAGATCATTTTGGGTTAGCTAACCTTTTGCCCCTTTCTTGATCCTGCCTCATTTATCAAGTCTAAATGCTAAGCTAACTGATAGCAGCATCTTCATATTTGCCTTTGAACATATTTAGAGGTATAGCTCACGAAACCATTAACATAGGATACCAAGGACACTGAAAGCAGCACCAATTTGAGACTGAGATTATGTAACTGCTGCTAAAGTGGAGGTATTGGCTTCAGACATTTACATCTGTTTACATTACAACCACTTGGCTGCAGCTACAGATTCACTAAATGTACTGCTGAATTTGGTTTGAGGAGTGTGAGGGGTCTTGTTCTTCTGTTTTCTTTTTTTTTTTTCAGCATGAGGAATCATATGGCCCATCTGGTTTCCATCAGTAGAAAATACACAGCTAAAATGCCTCAGAGCACACAGGAACATCCTCCCCCAACCCTCGGACACTGACTCTCTGACCGCAGATATGCACAGACCCACAGAGCTCCATTACACTCTGGAAATCCACTATGCTTTAAGGGAATCTGAATGATTGTTTCATTGTTGACATGTAAATCCCACATACTTTGGTTTGGTTATCCTGAACCTGAGGAGCTCTTATTCCCAGAGGCACACCAGCCCTGAGTTTTTTTATTTTCTCTAACACATTTACTCCTCTTATTAAACTTTCAGTGACTTTGTTCTCAGGGGGAGGTGTGTTTGTTTGCCTGGTAACTGCACCAGCATTGCATTTACTATGTGTGGGAATGGGATAAATTTAAAACTTATTTGTCAGGCTGTTAAAATCAACATTTTAAAGATGAGTGTGGCTGCCCCTCCTAAAAAAAAGCTTTGATATAACCAATACATTAAAAACAATAAGCACGTAAAGATAATATTGTAAAAAACGTTGAGAGATTCAATTTGCATCTTACCAATTATTAAATTAAACACATTGCAAATTTCCACAAAAATAGGATGTTTCCATAGGGGATAAAATGTAACACATAACATGAAAACATCTTCTCACCTAACTCCAAAGGACCTTCTTCTTCTTCTTCTTCTTCTTTTGGTTTTGTAGAAACATCTTTCTCCACTGTTTTAGCAGCTTCTTCAGTCGGATGCACGCCAGTCTTGGTGGTTTTTGGAGGTTTAGTTGTTGTCTTACTATCACTGGTTGTGACTCCAGTGGTGGAAACCTGAGTGGAGTTGGTTTTCTCTGCAGGAAAAAGGCCCTTAGATGTTGTTGTAAAAGTTGCATCTGAAGCCACAGTACTTGTGACATTGACAGTAGTGGCTGAAATGAGGAGAAAAGATCCACAATGCAGAAATAAGAGCAGGATGAAGTGCAGAGCTCCTGCCATTGTGTCCCTTCCCCTGCAAATATCCCTTGTACATTTAACCTCCCTGACTCGCTAAGCAGAACCATCAAGTCACCCATCACAGTGTAAAAACAACTTCCATGTGTGCACTTACAAAATAAAAGCTGTGTTGATGTAGAGTATGAAGAGAGTGTATTATGGAAGATGTTATAAGGATATCTACAGGAAATTGATTTGAAGCTGTTTTGATACTAAATTAAGCCCTTAGAGCTCCTTGTAAGGAACTTACTGTTTTATCTTGATTTTGGCGCCCCCTGTGGACAAATCTGATCTCTTTCTGATTTTGTCCTGTACTTGTGTAAGTTGCGTTCTTATAGCAAAGAAAATCTCATCCTGCTTAAAACGTACACATCAAGAATATTTGCTGTGTAAACATAAACAAGGCTGTTTTGGCAGCACGTCAACCTATTTTTCATCAGATATGTCAACACCTACCCTGCGGCAGCTTTAATAAGCATTAAAAAGAACATTATAGAAATAATCAATCTTGGCACAGTTGGTCTTGTTTGCTTTTAGGTCATAAAAAAGCATCAAAGTAAATTACAGTTTGTTTTATTACCGTCTTAAAAAAAACCACAGGAGCTTTTAGTGGGGTTTGAAGAGCAATGATATTTATATCTTAGCTAGTTGCATCACTAGAAACGTTTGCATTAACAAACAATGTTAAGGATTGTCTGTTGTTGCCCCTTTAAAGAAAATGATGCTCACTGGAAACAACGCATAAACATGCCCGCTTTTTTGTAACTATACAATTTTTGGCTCTAAACTTAAAGTTTGTAATGTGTGAATTGCCCGCCTTGCAATGTTTGGGTATTGCAAAGCAGGCATTTCACAAATCATGTTTTAACCCCTTTATTACATTAGGTTGTCGCATGCATTGCATTAGTTAAAAAAAAAACTAATTTCTCTTTGTAACAAAAAGCTTTGAGGACAGATTTCCTCCTTAACCTGGTTATCCCAAATAATACTAATTTTATAAGAATTGGTTTATGTTTAAATAAATGTCATTTTCATTACTGTGGTAGCAAAAATGTTCTACTCTGCAAAACGCAGGGTGAGACAAAACCTAGAAGCAAGCACTTTTAAACTCTACAACATACATAGTCATAGTAGAGTATCATGCTTTTATTTTGATGGTGTTAAAACTATTGCATTGGTTTTTCATGTTGACTTTATTCTCTTCTCCGCAGAGCTGCTAAACTAACAACCAAAGTATGTTCAGAGATTAAGCTCAGTCCACTCTCCCTCATTCTGTTACACAGAGGCAGCATGCATGGCTGGAAATGTAATCGTCCTGACCTACCCAATCAAAAATGACCAGTTTAGCGGCTGTGTACTGACATCTTGTGTCTGTGTCTATTAAAAACTCAAATGTATTGTATTTTATTGAGCTTTCTTCAAATTCTCCAAAAACACTTGGATTAACTCAACTGTTTTCCATTTTTAGATTCTTTAACAACACAGGTCAACACATTTCAAAGATGCTCATTTCACAAACAGTTCTGGTTAAACAGCTTTAATAATAATAAAGACATATTACATGTGACGTCTTCAAATCAGGGTACATTGGCTTTGATGTTAATTTGCATGTTTTACTTGGGTCTCTTAGTAAGAACTGAATCATTTCAGTTAACAAAGAAGTGTATGAAATAATTTTAGGGGATGTCACTCAATTCTTTGGGGAGTTAAAAAAGAAGAAAATCAGACGGACAATCAACCACACACTATTTAACCAGGTCTTTTGAAAAAATCAAGATGCAAATAAAAAATATGTACAAAAAAAGAATTTTCAAAACAAGAACTGAGTCACGTATCTTACACTCCTCACCCTGAAAATCTGAGTCACCTCGTTACTTTGTCTGAAGATTCTCATGGTGAATCTTATCAATGTCTTTAGACTTCACGTGTTGGACAGCAGAACCTTATTGAACTTTGACATAAAACTAAACATCAAGGGGGAATAAGTTAAATTCTCAAAAGTCTGGATAAACATGTTCCAAACATGGTTAATGACTGCGTTCACAGTATTTGTAATAATTGTATGTTTTTAACTCCCTCTGCAAAGCAATGACTAATACTCAATTAATTAACAGTGTTAATCTTTGTAGAGTAGATGTTAAATCATTTTACTGTTGGATAAAGTGAAAACGGTTTCTCAGAATTACAAATTCAGTTAAATAAGGTTCTACTCTGCAAATACCTCACTGTCCTTAGTTACCTTTATTCAGCTGTAAGACTTCAAAGGTACAAAAAGAGTCACAATTATAAGATGAAATCTGCAGCTGATTAAATGTCAAACTTGGTGGTTCTATTATTCACCCCAGTTTAAAGTCCAGACCAGTGACCTGAAAGACAATGATTCCCAACATACAACAACAACAACCGACAAAAAGGGCGGAGGACTATCCAGAGTGAGGAGAGAAGATGTCGAGTGAGAACGTCTAATTTCAGTCTGAGAAAAAACACGTCAAGGCTTCCAGAGCTTCAGCAGACCATCCTCACTGTAGGTACTGATCAGGTTCTGATGGGGGTGGTGGGCGATGCCGATCACATCCTTCTCGTGGACCTGAGGAGAGGAAGGACAAGACGACATCTTTTAAAATCAAGGAGCTGTATAGTGGAAAAAACTCAAAACAACGCTCATCTATAACTTTTAAAAGTAGAAATCTAGGAGATCTTATTGTTGTTCTCTATGGTTGCATCAATTGTTAAAAAGCTGTTTTTCTTGATAGTTTTGAGTTACATACATACAGCGTAATACTTGCATGTGAGTTATAATACATTTCACTGTATGAATGAAAGCGGACAGTAGATACAAAAAGATAAATAACTTGTAGTGTATGTGCAGTATGTTTTGGGGTGTTTCCCAGAAAGATAAAAAGTTTAAACTTTCTGTCAGCGTGATGATTTCTATTGTGTTCAGCAAAGTCAACAATGTGCAGTTTCTGTGCAGCTGTGTCGCTCTTTTCCCTTTGTGGAGTTTTCACTTCAACTAGGAACGATACGGTAGTTTGGCTCTCAGCCTATACGATAAAAGTTGTGAAGTACAGACCCACATCTTGCGTCTCCGCTGGTCACTCATTAACTTTAATATAGGAGTCTTTCAATCATGCATTTTATTCTGATTTATAAGATGTGATCTTTCAGAAACTGGCAAAATGGAGTTAAGATCATGTCAAGTTAGATTTTCCTCTCCATGCTTATTTATGAAGTCGTTACATAAGCAAGAAAAAAAAAGAGCTTCACTCTCACTTTTAAGATGTAGATCACAACTTCAGTCAGAACTTCTTTGCAGTAAAAGCAGAGGAGGGGAGTGTGCTGTCATGTTTTTATTCAACACTTTGATCAGTGCTCCTCAGTGTTTCAACGTACCGTCAGCGTTCTCTCCAGCTTGCCGGTGACTGTGCTGAAACAGTAGAGCACAAAGTCTTCTCCCACGCAGTAGATCCACTCGCCTCGGGGCGACAGAGTGCAGCACACAAAGTCACCGCCTTCCCTCTTACCAGAGCTGAAACTCCTCACGATCTGCACCAAGGTAAGAAGACAGATAGATTTCATGAGCAAACACCCTTAAAGATCTGAACCTAAGAACACTTGTAGAGACACACTGCAAGTTAGTGCAGTGATGATTTGAACCGACCTGTCCCTGCATGTTCATGATGACCATTGTATTGGAGCGGTTACACACTACGAAGTGCTCCGGGTTCTTTGGCAGCAGAGCGACGTTGTTCACTGTGATGTCTGTGCCGGCTGACGTGCCCAGAGGCTTGAAGGTGTTGGTGCACTCAGTGGTCTTCATGTTCCACACCTGAAGAAGAGCGAGACAAGTATAGTTTAAGATACAGGTACAGGGCACATAAGACATCCATTACAGAAGTGTGTTTTCTGCAGCTGCTTCTCCCACCTTGACTGTACCGTCCGAGGAAGCGCTGATGATGTGGTGGCCGTCCGGAGTGAAGGTGGCTTCGTTTACAAACGAGGAGTGACCACGGAACTCTTTGAGGGTTTTACCTGACTTCAGTCCATGGATTCTTCAAAAAATGAACAAAACAAGTTTAATTGGCATGTTTCAAAATCCTCCCACATAGTAAAGAAGAATTCATCTGGGAATCTTTTTGGTGTGCAGAAGAATAAAGAGTGAGAGGGCTGGTATGAGTTTACCTGATGGTCTGGTCAAAGGAGGCACTGAGGAGCTGACTGCTGTCCTTACAGAAACTGACGCATGTAACTCCTTTACTGTGGGCGCGTTCAAACCTTCTCAAACACTGACCGCTCTGGATCTTCCACACCTACACACACAAAATGCCTTACATTATTCTGTTTCTGCAAAATGATCCTTTCTGCATGCAACAATCATAAGTACAAGGACTCAACAACAGTATGAAAATAAATGAGGACTATACATGGTATGTTGTAATTACACACATTTTACTTCCAAAGTTCAGTTTTAAATCACTAATGAAGAGTTTTTTTGTGCAACAGAATAGCAAAAAAGGGAAACACACAGGTAGTACCATCAACCAGCCCAACTTGAAGAGGAGGCACAATGAAATTCTACGCATATTTAATAATGTTTTTTTTAAGCTGTAAAATTACAAAAATGGTCAACCTTGATCTTCCCATCCTGAGCTCCAGTTGCCAACATCTCTGTGTCTCGACTGAAGCACATACACAACACAGCGTCGTCCATCATCATGAAGTTATCCTGAGCCTGGTACTTTAAATCCTGTAGGGAACAATGCAGACAACTATTTCAAGCAGAAGTCATTTTGAAATGATAATGTGCGTGCAAATTCAACCACACAGTAAATGTAGTTTCTGCATCTTTATTTTTTAGATTCATTACCTTTCTGATTTTGCCGGTGGTGAAGTTCCACACCTCAATGAAGCCGTCCACAGAGCCGGTGACCAGATACTGACCATCAGGGGAGAATCTGGAACACTCCACATGAGATTTCTGTCCAAACTGTACAGGGAAGAAAAACAAATAACATCACAATACTTCTAAACAGTTAGGTCAAGACATTAACCAGAAATCAAACAACAGCATGCTCGTCTGGATTCACAGTTTGGAGCAGTAATGCGGGCTTTTAAAGTTGCATTCTACGACTCATACTTTGGGTCAGTGTGGTTACCTTGATGTGTCTGCTGAGCTGGGTGGGGAAGCGCTCCTCCTCCACATCTTTTACAGCCGCTTTACCTCGGAACAAATCGATGGTCATGCCAGGAGGCAGGAGACCCTGATGCTGCTGCCACTTCAAAGACTAGAAGAAGAGAACAAAGACAGAAAACCAAACGCTCATTAACACTTTATTTAAACGGAAACATAAATTAAGTCTGTGCAGAATATGAATCAGGAGAGACAACTACTGTATGGCAGGATTAAGCCATATCTAGTTATTACAGTCACAGTAATTTTTGCTGCAGGTGTTGAGATGTCTTACCTGTCCCAGCAGAGCCATAAGACGAGAGGGAGGCACCACGCTGACCTCCCCTGCCAGGGCCTGGGCGATGGCTGCTCGCCTCTTCTCTTTACTGCTGCCATCTGGATACGCCTGGACAACAAGAACAAGTTGATCAGAATATCTACACAGCCGTACTCTCAGACATATTCTCTTAATGCCATATGATTCTAGCCAAAATGAGTCTAATGATTAGAACAATGGTAATGGTGAAGTTTATGTATATAACACTATAGACACAAAGCATTACAAGGTCCTTTACATAAACAAAGAACAATCAAATACAGAGAAGTGTTTGAATTCAAACATTGAGAAAAAGGAACGAAAGACTCAACTTAAACTAATGAAATAAGACTTAAGAGATTCAGAATACACTGATGTAGCAAGACGTGATGTGGTTTGAAGAGTGGAAACACATTGTTATTTTATTTGTCAATATAATGATTTGTGAAGCTGGAGAATCCTCTTTAACTAAGACACTGTTATGTTTTAACTTCTTTCATGGCACCCCCGCGTTCAAAATGTGGTGTTTCCTGTTGTGAGAATAAAGAGCTCTCCACAGTTTAAAGTTAATGAAGCCCTGCGGTCATGGAAATTGTTCCCAATTTGATTCAGTAATAAAAAAAAAAAAAAAAAGGAAAAAGAGAGAAAAACAAAACATGCTCAATATTCTCTAATGTCACAGCACAGTAATGCTTTAAAATGCCGCGACAAAACATGTGACTCTAAGGTATATAAAGGGCCAAAAGCAAATGAGAAGACAAACCTCTCTTGGATCGAAGTAAGAGCGGGCTAGCAGGTTCTCCAGGTGGATGTATCTCTCTGGTTGGGTCTGTTTCAGCATGATCATGGGGTCGGTCTGCCTGAGGAGTGAACGTGCCGCACCCAACTCTCTCAACTCGATCAGCTCCAGCACCACCTGGTCAGGAGGTCAGGGAAGCACAATTGGATTGAAAACAAACTTCTCGCCTTCATTAAGTTCTTGTCAGTGGAACATTTGTTCATATGAGCAATGACAACAAGAGAACAAGTGCGCTCTTCTGATCCCAATAAAGCAGACGAGTTCCAAGATTACAAAAGTCGAAAAATCCACCAATAAAACACCTTGTGAATTATGATAGAATAAAACAATAATTAGTCTACTACCTCACCTGTTCATAAAGGTCTATAAGGGTCTTATCTGGCAGCTTGAGGGACTGGATGGCTTGCAGGACAGTATCCCAGTGGCCGCTGTTTATGTCTGCCACAAAGCTCTCGATACTGTCCACAGTGTTCAGAGACACTGTGGTCTCCTCCTGCAGGGTGACCAGTGTCCGCTGCAGGTTATTTTCCTTCAAGTACTGCATGATGAGACGGATCACACTGTTGAAAAAAGAAAACTCAGATCACTTCGATGTTACTAGATAGTTGATAGGAGCATATTGAAATCACAATGTGCTTGTAAGAAGGAGACAGTTAAATGATTGTGCATTATTTTTGGTTAGTATTACCAACAAAATGATCATCCTTCCATCTTGAGAAATATCTCTCAGCTATATCACTAAATCCAATCGACTCTTGTACATTTTTGCACTACATTTATATTCAGAAAAGAGTTAATCATGCAATCGTCGTACAATTGCCCTCTTTAGAAGGGCTGCATTATAGATGGCAATATTATCGCTACCAGTATTACATGACCATTTGCAATAAACCCAATGCACAAGTCTTAAACTATAGCAAACAAAAAGAAAAATTTGAATATTTAAAGAAGCCAATATTTCTCATTCAGCATGTGTACATCTGACCTTCACAATATTTGCAGTCAGCTACATTCAGTTTTTTTTAATACTTTTTATTTGATAGTTTTGAAGAAAAATAACATAAACTGTCAGAATGAGCACAGATCCACATGTAAGTGCATCATCTACACAGGCTGGATAAATATTACTGCTGGCTCATTCTACGACAGAAGAGAAGAGTGAGCAAAAAGGAAGGAAAAAATAAAAAATAAAAGAATAAAACAGAAAGAGAGCAAAAGAACAACAGAGCAAATTAACTTAAAACATAACAAATGAAAAACAAAACAATAAAAAAAAGTGATTTATTTAACTTAATTTCTTTGTTGAAATATTTAACAAAATTAGCACATATTATTAAATCATATGGTTTAATCTAATATTAATTGCAATAAGAAAATTTAATTTAATAAACCTTTTAATACTGGAGTTACTACACAACGCTTACTTCACTTTATGTAAATGCTAATTTACGTGTAACCCCGTATTTCTATCTTTTTTTTAATCCAAGAAGAATAGTTAATAATAGTGTTATGAATGGCGCAGAGAAAATTTTGAATTTAAATGAAAAACTACAAAACATCCACGAAATGCTAAGTTAGCTTGTTAGCTTAGCGAGCTAACGCTAGTGTACTGCAGCGGGTGGTGAAAGTAGGCCTCGTTCACACAAACTGTGCTCAAATGTTGTTTTTAAAGCCGGGATTTTAAAACAGGAACTCCCCCGATTTAAGAGTTATTATAAAGGCGACTTACTCTGCGGATTCCACCTCCAGAGACATGATTGTTTATCTCAAAAAAAGTAGCCCAAAAAGACACTCTTGAATCTGCAGCAAAGGGAAGAAACTACACGCAGCAGGACGGACGCAAACACGGAAGTAGTGGGAGGAGTCACGGCTTTTCAAAATAAAATGCTCATTGTGTGGCAGCAGTACACAGTCAATATAAATTACCATTTTCAGGCCATTAAAAGGAAAATAAAAGGGGAAAACAGTCAGTGGTTTATACATTAATATTTGGTAGACAGTAGGCTGTAAACAATTCACACTTTTGTCTTTCTGACAAACAAAAAGGCTCCATAATAAATCCAAACAAATGTAAGGCTTATTACAACATTGTGATATACTGTATGCTGATCAGCCATAACATTATGACCACTGACAGGGGGACTTGATTATCTCTTTACAATGACACCTGTCAGTGGATAGGTTAGGCAGTAAGTGCACATTTTTTCCTTAAAATTGATGTGTTGGAAGCAGGAAATGACCAAGGGTCAGGATGTGACAATGATAAGGGCCACAATTGTGATGGCTAGATGACTGGGTTAGAGTATCTCAAAACAGCAGCTTTTGTGGGATGCTCCAGGTCTGCAGTGGTCAGAACCTACCAAAATTAGTCTAAAGAAAGAAAACCAGTGAACCAGCAACAGGGTCATGGGCCAGCAAGGCTCTTCAATGGGAGTGGGGAGCCAAGGGTGACCTGTGTGGTTTGATCCAACAAAAAAAGCAAGTGGAGCTCACACTGCTGAACACACAGTGCTTTTCAGATTGTTGTGTATGGGGCAGCATAGACTGTCTTTCTAATGCTGAGCCCTGTGCACTACAATAGCACCTACAATGGGCACAGGAGGATCGCAACTGGACCATGGAGCAATGGAAGAAGGTGGCCTGAAGGAACACAGCAACATTAAGGTGTTGACTTATCCTCCAAATTCACCAAATCTCAATCCTATTGAGCATCCGTTGGATGTGCTGTACAACCTAGTCCTATCCATGAAGGCCTCACCTCTCAATTTACAGAACTTAAAGGATCTACTGCTAACGTCTTGGTGCCAGATTCAACATCACACCCTTAGAGGTCTAGTGGAGTATATTTGATTGATTTGGCCCTGACCTTAAGAGAGGATAACCTACACAACATTTAGCAGGTGATAATAATGTTATCATTTTGTATTTGTATATGGCTGATTGGCTATTATGTGTGTGGATAAGAATGCCAATTCATTTATATAATCAATAATATAATTAAATGCACATGTAGGTGAAAACTATAATCCACAATACCTCCATCATTATTATACTAAGCCCTCAAGGTGGTTATCAGAATCAGAATTATCCCTGAAGGAAAATTCAGACATTACAGAAAATAGTAATGAGAAATATAGATTTAGAAATATGACTTAAGTAAGAAATATCCATAAGAAATCAAACATTAAGTACAAAAAGTGCAGACTATTATAAGAAAAGCATGTTTAAAAAATGAGAATTGAAGAAATAAAATGTTCAGTATTGAACAGTAGAGATATTAAAAAGAATAAAAATGCAAATGAGATACATTTTAAAAATGGAGTTAAGGTACCAACCTGTGTCACTGAAAAACCTCCAAATTAAACTGGTAGAAAGTAATTCTACTGGTTTCATTTGCAGGTTTATATCAGTTTAACTATTTTGCCTTTATCTGTCTCATTGGCCTGGTGTTTCTATCTTCTGCTTTACGAAGTCAATGGGGTTGGTTGCCTTGGATTCGGTCAATAAGAGGACCTATAATGTGATGGTTATGAGCCTCGTAAACTATTGTCTGCACATCTGCTTAGTTGCATTACTTTGTTCCCAGCATGATCAACAGAGGGCGCTATCTGCTCAGCTAACCCTCAGAGGCCCTCTTGACTCTCTCTTCTCTGCCAGTGAAGGTCTTTCAAGGTTATGATGATGATGATACTCAGTGCAGCCCCACTTCAGTCTGCAGTCCCACGGCATGGGCTTGATTGTTTTGGGCAATCATGACATAATCCCACTGTGAGCCTCATCCACATTGGAAATGAAATTTGGCACCAGGAACACACCAGACCGTGTTTGCTTTTGCAGATGGAGAAATATATTGGGAAACGATGAGGAGAAGCACGGAGGATAGGGACAGGAGGAGAAGCAGCGGTGCTTTCACACAATACAAAAACACTGCAGTCATGAATACATTAACATAAGAGCAGAAGAGAGACGTCAATATAATTTTGTCGTCTGCTGGCATGACAAAGCAGAGGCTGTTTGGAGAACGCTTACAGACGAGGGAGACGCCACCACGCTGGAGGAATGACAGCGACACAAAAGGCTGTAATGTAATCACTTCATCCTCTCGGAGAAAAACAAAGAACATCTTAAATTTATATGAGGTGCCGTTCTTCGATGTGCATTAAATTTACCCTTTTACATTTTAACTCAAACACATTACCACCACAAAGACATTTAGCCGTTCTTTGATGTGTCAGGAAGATAACAACACTTTCAAGCACAAACACATAAAATTCCACCTGCTCAGTGATGGAGGACGGTAGGATGAATTAATGTGCGGCTTTAAAATATTCTTCAAACATGATTCACACAGCCTAAAAAGAAAGGGAAAAAAAGGATGTACTTTCACAGGGTGTTCATTCTTTATACTCCAAAATGACCAAAGCTTGACATTCATGAACCAACTATACTGCAAAAATCAAACATATATCTGCATTTCATGGCTTGTGAATCACTTTAAAAAAAAAAAATCAAACACTTCAGACAAATCTACATTTCTGGCACGATCCTCACACACCCAATCTCTTGTGTTCTCATGGAAACCATTTAAAATGCTCAAATCAAATGACCGCTTGGCCAGTCTGAATTCTCACCGGTCTGGCAATGATAACAAATCAAGGCAAAGAGCCACGGGCAACTTGTTTATTGGGATGAATAGATGAATGAATCAATAGGTTACAACAATACAGTGAGAAAAGATGATGAGGAAGAGGAGGAGGAGGAGGAGGAGGAGGAGGAGGAAGAGCTCCCAGAGATTTGTGCAGGTCCGGATTTGTGATGACAGGCAATTTTTCGAAGGGAGAACACTGTCTGTGATGTGTAGGATCTTATTAAATGAAGTCCACAATGTGACATGAGACAGCTGTCCTTTTTTGTCTAATTGTAGTATGCCCTAACTAACCTAAATGTCAGCCATCCAGCTGCATGCTCACAATTTGCCCTTAAACCCATTGCCAGCACAAGAACAGGGGTGCCAAAATCAACACAAAGTGAAAGTTCCTCAAAGCAGCTTTAAAGTAAAGCATCTTATTAAAACAGCATTTTCATTCCCCTTTTACAAAAGACGGCGTCAGCCTCCTGTTGCACTTGAAAGGACAGACTTTCCCTTCAGTGTGACAGCAAACAGTCAGCATACTGTCAGGTTCTGTCAGAAAGAGCCACATGAGACACAGCCTTTGAAAGCCTGACTATGACTCATAGTTGATTTGGGGCACCCAGCTTGAAAAAAGGTGCAATCCCTTTCAAACAGGGACGTTCTATAGCTCATCTCCCAAAGCTCTCTCATGGACTCACCCTGCACCAGTTGTCATGCAGTGCACGTTCAAGGAGGCGTGAAATGAAGTTTACTCTTGTTGCCTTCCCTTAGATCTGTAGGTATCAGATCCATTGTACATGAATTAAGGAAGGGAACCCATGGGCTGGAGCATCGTCACCTTGCTGAAGAGAATAACATTAATGTTTACAAAAAAAAAAAAAAACGCCTTAATAGTGTTCTTCTGTCCAGTCAGTAATCATTAACCCACCCTGTGGTAGATAAACACTTGTGAGTGTGACTAGTCTGAGTTGAAGCAGAAAAGAATCAAACTGTCTCCAGAGGTGAGGGACCAGAAGTATGTAGACAAAACACAGGCAAAGATCACACTTCTTACACCTTTGCCTCAGACAGGAAATAATTACTTGGAGCACTGCACCGGCTGCTTGGTTAAAGAAAGAAATGTAGGCAAGTCAAAGCATTGCAAAACATGACCTGTTTTCTTTCCAAGATGGTGTCACAGATAAGACGACAGCAAGCAAATTACCGCAGGATACACACCAGTCTGATCTCAGCATGAGGTAGAAAATTGAAATCAGATTCGCTGGACCTGGGTGCAAACATCCACTCATGCATAATTCCTATATTCCCATCTATGTTGCTTCTATTTGCACTTGCACTGAGTCTACATTTTTTGCATTTGTATGAAATGATTATGTAACAACAGCAACTAGCAACAGAAAATTAAAATGTATTGCTTTGTTTGGTTTTTGCTTCTGTCTATTTAAGAGCTTTACCCTTAAGTGTGCCTGTTGGCCAAAACCAATGAGCAAGGGTCCATTAATTTTCTGCCTAGAAGACCTTTGCAGCTCCTTACTAATGGCTCATTTCAGACTGTCAGCCCTCGAGTCAAGAGGGGTGGTGGGTGGAGGGTGTGTTTGTTTGTGAGTGTGTGTTTGTAAGACGTATTTGTGATGGGGGTGGTGGGGGTTATCATGCAGGCGGGGAAGCCTATTGGCATGTCCATTATTCTCACTGGGCGCATTAGAAGCCAAAAGGGACTCATTGGGAAACCTTTATTGATAGTTTCAATCTTCTTGACACAAAAACAGGAAAAGGAGCCACACTGTTGCTGCAGAGAGTGGGTGAACAAACCCATACAGAGCAGTAGCATGAGGCTCGTTCTTGCTGTTGCTGCTTGCATCGGAGCGCAATGAATTAAGGGTTATCAAGGTGATAAAGCACTGAGTTGGAAATAGGATTGTGCTTATAAAGCGGAGAGCAGGCAGCAAAAGCGTGAGCTGACATACAGTATGCTGGTCCCTGAGCAGTCCAGATAAGGCAGGTATGCAGCAGAGCACTCCTCCACTCGTTTCAATGTAAATAAAGGCTATCAACTTATACTGAGAAAATGCTGCTGCCTCTCCTCGGCTGAAAAGGTTGTGGGCCCGAGGTGTATTTGGGAGAAAAAAAGACCAAAAAAAACATAGAAAGTGCTGACACAAGTAGCTGGTATGGGGTGGGGAAAGCTCTCTCTTTTCAATTACGTGT